TAAAAAATAAGGCTATATTAGTATGCTGAGCTGTGAAAGACTCAAGTCAACAGCTAACAATTGCCAGTTGTGTTGATAACTCACTACTATTATGGACTATTGGACTATATTGGGTTATTTTGCTGAATTCAAGTACCTACTGTCTTTGGTCTGGCATCAAGTATGAAAAGGTCCTTTAAAGACTTCTCCAAATACAACTTCTATAACTGCAATGGAACACCCATCTCTGACAAAACAAAATAAAACAAAAATGGGGGATATAAATAAAGGACTATTTTGTTGTGAAAAAATATATATGTATATACAAGATAGGATAGATATACAGCTACATTCTCTTAGTTCATTGAGAAGTGTTTGTACTAATATTGTTCACACAAGATATCATGTCTGTATCTTGTCCTTTGTATAACTACTATGAAAACAACAATATGCAATGTATTAATTATTGTAACTATCCTACTAACCTGTTTTGAAACTTTTTCATTGGTATTTTATCTTTTTTTCTCATTAAAATGAATAAAAATGTGCTTAAATTTTTGGGAGTCTGTTACCCTCCTACTATAAGAATCAAATGAAAACTTTGTACACAAGAAGCATGCATATTTATGAGCTTCACATTGTTCGTGTTGGGTATCATCCATGTCGTGTTGAATCTCATCATTGCAAAGCTGGGTGACGATCCTCATGTGAGGGCAGTAATTGCACTGGTTGTGTTGGTACCACATGATGTTCATTCACAGAGAAAACATGTCATTCCTTCTCAAATATTAAGCAAAATGGAAATCAACAGGTTGACTTGGTAATTATGTATTACCTCAATTTTTAGCAAAAATCTAAGAGTGAGGAAGCAGGACAAGGTGTGACTGGCCTGTTACATCAGTTAGGATTAGATTTGGTTGGCAAGAACTGTGATCACATCAACAGTAGCTTAAATAAGGAGGACATTTATTTTTCTCTTTCTTTTTCTCTCCCTTCCTTCTTTTTTCCTTTTTTCTCTACATTCTTTTTTCTTTCTTTTAATATATATATTTAATATATATTATATATATATTTTCTTTCTTTTAATATATATACGCACACACACACACATATTTTCCTTTTTATGTATGTAGTGCAGGGTCTACAGGTCTCGCTATGTAGATCACACTCAAGCGATTCTTCTGTTTTCAGCCTCTCAAGCACTGGGATTATAGGTGTGTGCTACCATGCCCAGTCTCAGTCCCCAACTCAATGTATCCTGGGGGTGGCTGGCAGGGCATGCTGGGATTCGAACACTGGCTGCTGCACTCTGCCTAAGCAGGTACTTTAGTCCACTGAACTATCTGGCTGGCCCTCTTTCTTTCCTTCTTGCTTGCTTGCTTTTTCCCTCCCTCCCTCTCTTTCTCCCTCCCTCCTCCCTTCCTTCCTTCCTTCCTTCTTTCCTCTCTCATGCCCCACATTACACCTTTCTTCTGAGAATCAAATGTAAGCCCTTGTGAATGCTAGGCATGCACTCTTCTAAACTGTAACCTCAGTCCCTACTTCATCACATTCATCCTAAGGTACATGACCTATGCCTTGATTAACATCTGTACTTGGTGAAGTCCTAATAAACCAGGCTCCTCCTATCATTTTCTTTACTTTGTTATCAAAATCATTGTACACTTCAAAATGATAGACCACAGCTGTATTACAGCTGAAAGAAAAGAAGATAGAGAAGACAAAGGGATGAAGGACATGTTTCAGGAATCTTTAAAGTGAATGTTCTATCCTTTGCCACAGAATGCTTCTCACAATTCAAGGACTGGAATAGTGCATTGGCCACTACTGTTTACAAGAAAATTTGGAAGACAGAGGCTTTATTTGGATGGCCATATCACTAGTTCAAAATTGGGGGATCTATTATTAGGCAGAGTAGTGTGGAGAAGGAAGAAAAGGGAAAAAGCAAAAGAGATTTTGGAGACTAGCATGCAGTCTGTAAGGTTGTCAGCCAGTGTCTGGACTCCATTGCTCCCTGTGGATGCTACATAAGTGGGCCTTCAACTAAGATTATGTACTGCTGCTGCTTTGCACTACGTCCCCTCAGGGGGATCCCACATTCATTGAACACTGTAATACATTGTTATAGATTTTGGGGATCAAGGCATATTCTTATTTAAAAAACTCTTATTTATGCTTTTATGTACTAAATATTGAAGGCTAGTTAGTAGAAGTGAGACTCACTTGGTAGGATCAAGTAGCGTCCTATATTCTTGTTCATCCAATGTCCAGGAAAGGATACGATAGTAGTTAGTTTTGGTAGAGGAACATATTTAATATGAAATATGTGTGTATGTATGCATATATGTATATGTGTATGTATGATTATACAGAGGGTTTACTACGTTGCCCTACAGGATAAGGATCAGAAGAGTATGGCTGAGAGATCAGAGGAGGAGTGTAAAATGGCTGCCTACGTGCTGTAGGGCTGGTAATTCAGTCAAAGGTCAAAGGCCCCGAACTCTCTGCAGAGTCCAGGGGGATTCAGTGTCAGAAAGCTGCAAGGTCTGTGTTGGAAGGATGAAAAGAGACTCCTGGAAGCCTGAAGGAACTGGAGAGGAATGTCTAAAGACAATGCTGGTACTCTTTTGTCTTTCCCTTTTTAGTCCTTCCAGGCTGTAAGCCTGTTGGTTGATGTCACCACTTTTGCAGCATACATAGACACACAGAGCTTTTGTAATCTGCTAGGTGGTCTTTACCTGAGTGAAGTTGACATACCAGAGTTAATGAGCACAGCCATCATCCCTCCTTTGGGATGGCCAAAATAATTTAAGAATATTTCATGAGGCTTAGAAGACTGGGAAATGCGAACAGGGTGAATTTAAACATCTTTTGTGAGAATAGGGAGATTAGGGAAGAATATGAAAACAGATGAAACACGTATGTTCTAGGTAACATATTCCAAATTTCTCCAGGGATTACTTTGCTTTTTTATCTAAAGAAACTATCAGTACTGGAAGAAAAGAAACAAGAAAAGAAAAGAAAAGAAAAAAAGAGAAAAGAAAAGATATGGAAGAGAGAAGAAATGAATATTGGGAATAGATGTTTGTGTTACATGATTAATGGAAATGCTTATGTATAATCCTAATAATTCACTTAGCTCTTTTGTGGTTGTAGAAGGTGTTCAACATGTGAGCTATGAAGAGGGTTTTTCTGAAAGGACACTTAAAAATCATTTTGTAGGGGGCCAGCGAGACAGCAGTCTAAAGTGCCTGCCTAGGCAGCTCAGGCAGGCATAGGGAACTGCAGTTTGATCCCCAGCACCATGCGCCAGCCCTGCCCTCAGGGTAGGCTGCGCCAGTCCCTCCCCCCCAAAAAATCATTTTGTAATTATAATGCTTCCTGGAAATTCACTTATTTGTATTAGTCAAAACAGCCAAAGATGCTTCATTTTCTTGTGGAATAAAGATGTGTGTCACAGACCCAAGGCCATTGCCATCAAATAACAAATTTCAGAGATAAATGATGCTCGTGGAGTGAATTTTATAGAAAAATTGGAAAAGGAATGATACCTCAGATGATGTTTTGTCATCAAGAGTACTACTGAGATAGAGATTATAATTTTTATTAAAACCTTTTTTATCAAAACCCTTTTTACTGATTAACAAAAAGACAAAGGAAGAATAGCAGCGTGACTACCCCAGAGTTTTCATACAGATGAAATTTTATGTTTAAACCTTAGTGTAGATATTTTTCATCACATATTTATGAATTATTTCTGTAATTCATATGAATAAAGAGACAAAAATATCCTGGGATGTCATGCAAAACCTATGTAATTAGGATAAAGAGTAACCTCGTTAAGATTCTTGACTTTTGGTCATTCAGATAATTTTTCTCTGACTAAGAAAAGAAATATTAAACTGCATAATAGCTCGAGGAAGTGGTAGGTAAAACTCCTGTGTCTTGTATGAGCTGGATAATGGAGGGACATGGGTTAGTATTCAACAATTGAGATTATCTCACTCACCTCCTCCACCTAAATCCCAATGGAATTAAGAGATATTTATGTGGGCTTTGGGGTCAGAGCCCATTCAAGTCCTTTCTAGTTGAGTGAGTAGGTGTGAGTGTATAATTCCTACATGACACACTTAATGGAATACATTTACATTCCTATATTCTGAGACTAGTTTGAAGTACTAAATGCCTAGGTATGGACGCTATATCTTTTCTGAGATAATATAACCTCAATCAGTTTTGTCTTTCAGTTTCTTGTTTTTGTTTTGTTTTCCAAGGAATTCTATGCCTGTCCTAATTCTGGCCAGGCTGTGGTGGGCATCAGTCTTCTGGCTTTCTAGAATACGGGCACTACCTCGTTGTCCCTTGATCAAGTGACCAGTGTTGACAGGGCTGTGGGATCAGTGCTGGAGACAGAGTATTTTGCAACAGCATCTTAAGCAATAGAACCACAGCCAGTGTATAGGTAACAAGTTACTGTGGCTGACAGTGGTGAGCATGACTTTGATCCTTCAGCTTGAAATACATTTCCTGGCTCCCTTTCTTCGCATCAGCAGGACCAGGGTCACAGCTGTGTCTGTAGCTGCCATGAGATGTTTTGGCAGATTGTTTCCTTTCATCATAGCAGGTGACATCAAACTAGTTTGAATTTAATTATAGTATGTCAGTGAGAACTGGATTGGCTGCTCAAATAAAGTACTATGATTCTTCTCTTCAGACAATGTTTACTTCTATTAGAAAAATTATGTGGAGGCCGGGCAGATAACTCAGTGGACTAAAGTGTCTGCTTAGGCAGAGCTCAGTGGCTGGGGTTCGATCCCTGGCATGTTGTGCTGGCCCTGCCCCCAGGACACGCAGAAATGGTGATTGAGACTGGGTGTGCTGGCATGCGCTGTAATCCCAGTGCTTGGGAGGCTGAAAACAGGAAAATCACTATGAGTCTGATCTATGTAATGAGACCCTGTAGTCCCTGTACTAAATGCATTTAAAAAAAGAATGTGGGAAATAGATATTTAAAAACTGAAGATAGTATTTCTTATTAACAGACTTAAAAAAAGTATCCATCTTGATTATTAATGCTAATAGAGACATACAGAGAATATAGTCTATGAGAAATAGAAGATGCAGTCAGAAATCTTTGGAATATATTTTATTTTTTTTTGTTATATCAGCATACAATATGATGAAACCATGAGATAAAAATCAGATTCTACAGAAACTAAAGGATTTCATTTCTTTCCTGCATCCCACAATATATCACCTTTCAAAATACTCAGATACTTAAAAAAATGCTTTCTGATGAATCAAACTTTACTTATAGTAAAGACAGGTACTTAAAGATTTTACTTAAAACTACTTTGTTAAGGTATTACTGGGGGTTATTGGAAAAAAAAAAAGCAGGATTTAAATGAAGCACAGCAGGACCTGTTCAGGTGGTGTGGAAGCTGTGTCCAGGGGTACCTGGAGCCTGGCTTTCTGCGGAAAGGCACACACATAGGTAACAGGACTGGTGCCTTCTAAGTGGAGGGTGATTCTTCAGGGCGTGTGCTTCAGGATGTACTTGGCAATGAACTTGACAGCCAGCATGGTCTCCTTGCAGGTTGGCTTTATCAGGGATTCAGGAAGGAGGAAACCAAATTTGCCTTTATCACGGAGCTCAAAGGAAAATGTGTGTTTAATACCCAGGTCATAAGCCCAGTCTAAAGAAGAGCCTGTTGTTGGATCTGCAAAACATAGGCAATTGATAGTGAGAGAGAAATGCTAACATTTCATGGAAGCAGAACTCACTGGTGTAAAATTAGCAGCAAAAAATTATTTGTACAGTTAATTACAGTAATAAATGAGAGTAGTGGTCTAAGCGATACAGAGCACATAGTAAAACATAATCACAAATCTGTAATCCACTGTATATTTTAAATACAGGCTACACTTTAAAAATCACATTTGGTTGGGTCAGGTACTAAACTGACTTTATTTCCTGGACATACATTGCTTCAGACAGAACAAGTGCAGGCAGCGGAGGAAACTAGCCAAGGGCCCGACACGCGGGTCATTAAAGGCCATCACAGCAAACTACACACAAGCCATCCCAAAGTACATTCTTTCTAATAGCTTAAGGATCTGCGTATTCATGTCATGAGAGTAAATTTTTATATGAAAAGGACATGAGAAGAAAGATTTGTACTAATAGTATTTGGACAGGATATTGTATCTGCATCTTGTACTATGAATAACCACTGAGAAGATAACAATATGCAATGTAAAAAAAAAAGGACAAAAAAGTTTAAATTAGTGATTTTTTTTTTTTTTTTTCGGAACCAGGGATTGAACTCAGGCCCTTGCGCTCTCCAAGGAAGTGCTTATTCCACTGAGCCATCTCCCCGGGCCAAATTAGTGATTTTTAAGGACATATTTAATCCTTTAATCCATACTTCCCATGTCAATTGTTATTGGGAAAATTTTAATTTAAAATTTAAAGTTTTAATGGGAAATTCCATTAAAGATATTATTTAGTATTGAAAGTTGAAAATAAATATACAGGTAAATCTAGAGGATATATACATAAATCTTACATCTAGAAGTTATAGTATATGTAAGTGCATATATATGTAATATAAATGCTTTTACATATTTTTTACTTTATGTAATAGATAAGTGTTTTTTGTATAAAATCATTTATGTTCTAGAACAAGTAATGGTCTTAACTGATACTAATTTATGTTTGAAGATAAGAATTCAAAGTTGTGATTAAGAAAGAGGGAGAAGAATATTTTGGTGGAAAGAGGTAGAGTTGGCTCTTAAAGTATTCAATGAACATATATTCATTCACTTTACTTGGCTACAAAAGAGTACAAGTTACAGAGGGGACGCCATAGAGCACCTAGGAAAATACAATTTAGGGGAGAATAGTCAAAGTGCAAATCCATACAGATAGCAAGATACATTATGAACCATCAGAAAGTACAAGATTGCTTGAAGATGTAAATAAATAGAGATTACTTGGGTAGAAGGAAGACATTTCAGGCCCAATCTTGCCCACTATTGCCATTGTGATACGGAAAGTATTTGACAATCTTGAAAAAAGGTGAGTTTTTTCCTATGCAGAGGTGAAAGAAAATCATTCTGGCTGGGGAGCTACATGAGAAAAAATCCCCAGAGGCAATTTAAGGGTCTGTGAGCTCATTTGGGTTGGAGGAAGGGAAGCAGTGAGAGTTTGTGGGTAAAGTTTAGAAAACCTTACAAATCATCCATGTTTAAATTTTGAGGGACTATGTGCTACTCCTGCACTTTTATATGTTTAACCCGGATTGGAAAGAGCAGAGAGCAGTCGGGGTAGGTGAAGTGAAACCCTACCTGAGGGCAGAGTCAAAACACTGGGAAGAACACTGAGGGCCTTATTCAAGAAGCATTGATATGAAAGAGTAACCAGAGTTGCTAAGCACGATTGAAATTTCAGTCTGGGTATTTAGGAAAAAAGAGCATGTTGTTAACACAAGTAAGCTCAGAGAGTATTCAAATGCGGAAAAGGAAGACAGTAGCACATTGTCTCTCAAAATTTAAGGAAGACAGAATGATATGTTTAGTGTAAACAAGACATTCAGGAAGCAGTTCAGGACAATGAAATTTGAAATTATTGGCAGCAGCAACATCAGTGAAATTGGTATGTACACATCTAAGATCATTGTCTTCTTGTTGAATTGATCGTTTACTCATTATTAATACCTCTCTTTGCACATAGCATCTTTTTTTTTTTTTGTTCTGAAATGTACTCTGTTTGATTTTTACTCACTCTCTTTAGGACTTTTAATTTTTTTTTTTCCTGTGCTGCTGGGGGTTGGACACTGGGTTTCACACATGTTAGGAAGGTTCCCTATCACTCAACTATTCTCTCTGATCTGTAGTAATTAATATAGCTACTGCTTTTTGATTTAATAAGCCTACCATATTTTTATCCTTTTTATTTCAATCTATGTTATTATATTTGAAACTAGGGGTCTTTTGGTGTGTGTTTTTGAGACAGGGTCTCCCTATGTAGTCTAGGCTTGAATTCACTATGTAACTCAAGTTGACTTTGAACTCTGTGATCCTTCTGCCACAGCTTCCCAACTGGAGTGATTACAGATGTGTGCCACTACATCCGGCCAGAAACTAGGCAATACATTGTTGAATCACAATTTTTAAGTACAGTATATTTCTCTGTATATTAGAGCATCAAATCTGTTATATTTTTTAAAAAATTTAAATCAATCATCATGCTTAAAGGATGTTTATATCCTTCTTTTCTGCAGTTTGGAGTCTTTTGTTATTTCTTTTCTTTCTTTTTTTTCCTCCATACCAGATCAAACTTGGGACCTTGAACTTGTTTGGAGGATTTCTCTTAGCCACTATCTAAGGGTAGGTGTGCATGTAACAAGTTCTCATAACTATTTTTTTTTTCTGACAATGTCTTTTCCTTTTCACTTCTGTAGTGTATTATTGCTGGATTTAGAATATGTTTTGATAGGATTTTCCCCTTTCAACACTTGAAATAATGCCCTTTCTTTTGTCCTCCATGGTTTTATATGAGAAATTTGCTGTTTGAATTGTTTTCCATCTAGATAATTTTCCTCTGGTTGTTTTCAGAACTTTTTTTTGTCTATCATTTTCAGAAGTTTACTTACGAATTTTCCCAATGTGAATTTCTTTGCATTTATTCTGTTTGGTGTTTACTGAGTGACTTGAGTGTGTTGGTTTATGTCTTTGTCAGATTTCTTCAAATAGTTTTTCCAGGCTTGCTCTGTTTTGTTCTCCCCTTCTCTACCTCTCTAACATATTTAATAATATTGTATTTTCTGTTATTGTCTTATCAGTCCTTAGGGCATCTGTTGACTTTTTTTCAATTTGTTTTCTCTTTAGAGTGAGTGAATTCTATGGCTTCATCTTTAAATTCATGGATTCTTCCCTTGGTCACACTGACTCTGTTTCTGAGCTTCCCCTCATCCTTTGACTCCTCTGCTTGTTGGATTATTGTCCCTGGCTCCCTTTACATCTTACTTTGTTCTCATATCTTACTCTAATGTCTTTCTTTGGTTATATTTTTGATTTGTCTCCAATCTCTACTTGTTTTTTAAAGAATTTTTTTTATGATGGTGATTTTTAAATTCTCAGATGATCCCAACAATGAAATTATCTCAGGGTTGGCATCTGTTGGCTGTCTTTTTGCATTCCAGTTGTGATTTTTCTTGTTTTTAGAAGAACAAGTACTTGTCAGTTGTGTTGTGAATATTTTGGCTATTACAGCTTAAGTATTGACTTAAATCTCCTATTTTAGCAGATAATCACTCTGTATTGGTTTCATATGTAGACCCTGGCCTACTTTGTATCTTGTGGTTCTGATGAAAATATAGTTTTAAGAACTTACTGTATTTGCTATTTTAGCCTCATTGATTTGCCCACAGCTGCTAGGTTCCTATTGATCCCACAGGTCCAAAGGGGGTTGCTTAGCTGGGCCATTTGATGCCTCTGAGTGGCCAATGAAAGCCTTCAGCCTGTAGAGATGGCACTTCTGGGTGAGAAAGTCAGAAGGCAGAGGAAGGACAGTAGAGAAAACCCCAGGAAGAATCTACATATTTTGCTCCATTTGTGTTGTAGAAACACATCTGCTTGTATTTATTTATCATTTATTTATATTTTGAGACAGGGTCTTATTATGTGGTTTAGGCTGATCTTGCACTCCTCTAGTCCATGCTGGCCTCATACTGGCCAAGATCCTCCTGCCCCAGCCTCCTGAGTGCTGGGATTACAGAGGTGCGCCACTCCACTGAGACATGTGTGCTTTTAGAGGCCATCACCAGAGACAGAGTGGAAGAGGATAGCAAGCAGAGCTAGGAAAGTTTAAAGTCAGAGAAGCCAAGGGAAAGGCAAGGGAAAGAAGGGATTTCAGCAGGGCCAAAAGTGCAAGAAATTTGTGGAGTATGGAGCTCCAACAGATGAACTAGTTTTAGGATAATTGGAAAGAAGGTGCGTAAAGAGTTCAGTAGAGAGTAGGGGAGATAGCTCAGTGGTGTAAGCGCCTGCCTGGCAAGCACAAGGTCCTGGTACACACAAGAAAAGAGTTCAATAGAAAAGGAGACAAGTGACATAGAAACTGTGGGTAATATGGTAACTCATGTACTGCACACATTTACTAAATGTGGCCAGGTTTTAGCTGCACCACGTCTCCATTTAAAGTTCAGAAAACTGCCTTGATTTCGCAGGGTTAAAAGGTATGACTAATCTATTTTGAGGTATTTACATTATGTAAAATTTCTCATTAACAGTGGTGATTGAAGCTATACATAATTTGTGCTTTTTCATAACTAAGTGATGCTATAAAATGTAGTTATGTTCTTTTATGACACCATTTCTTGCATCCTCTAGACCCTAAATTTGTAAATAAAACCTGTTTAAGGTATACAATGAAGGCAGCACTGAAAACTTTCTTCCCATAGGAATGTATTATGATGCAACTTAATTTGATGGACATGATACTTAGCCATTTATTTTGCTTTTTGGGTAATTATTAAGATATAAGTACATTTATCAGTTGTAATAGTCCCTGGGCTAAATATTAGACACCCTTCTAAATGATTGATGCATATTAAGTCATTTAGTTAACTTCTATTTCAATCTTACACTGTAAGGACCAACTGTCATTTTAAAGAAGAAATTCAGGTACAGTGCTATTAGGCAATTTGTTGAAAGACACATAGTAGGTGATTAAGTCAGAATTCAAACCCAGAATATATGTCTTCAGAGTTCATGCTATGAACCCCTGTATGGTACTACTCATGCCAATCTGTGGTTTACTAATACAATTTTTTCTCATAATTCATAATTTATTTTATGTTGGCAGTATATTTCTAGTATATCAACATATGGAAAATAATACTTCCTACTCATTTCAAGCTATAATCTTAGGTGCAAGGAACTTACTGTAATGCAATAAAAAAGTCTAAATGCAACTATACTGAAGTAGGAGACTGATTTCAGATCAAATGAATAGATATAAAGTAATTTTTTTTTTACTTTTAAATCTTTTTCTGTCTATATTTAGAATTAGATTCTTTTTTTAATATTTATTTATTTTTATTTATTACATTTATTTATTGTGTGTGTGTGTGTGTGTGTGTGTGTGTGGCCAGCTCAGCCCACCAGGGGGCGGGGCTGGCTGGCATGTGGTGCTGGAGGATCGATCCGAGGTCCCTGTGCTTTGCCAAGCTTGTTTCAAGTAGGTGCTTTAGACCACTGAGCCATCTCTCCAGCCCCGATATAAAGTAATTCTGGTGATGTAGAGTGTACTGTATTTACTGTTTCCTGATATAGCATTTTCTAGAAATTATGTCACTTTGAGTAGGATGACTGAAATGTACTAAATATAATACCCTGAGCTTAGATATCAAAATTAAGTGAAAATTAAGCAAGAGCAGAATCTAGGTATATGTGAACATAAATTAAGATATTTCCTCCAGGGCCAGCCAGATAGCTCAGTGGACTAACGTGTCTGCTTTGGCAGAGCGCAGCGGCAGGGGTTCCATCCGCATCGTGCCATGCCAGCCTTGCCCCTGGGGCACACTGAAGCTGTGATTGAGACTAGGCATGGTGGCGCACTCCTGTAATCCCAGCACTTGGGAGTCTGAAAACAGGAGAATCACTACAAGTCCGATCTACCTAGTGAGATCCGTATGCCCTATATACCCTATGCTAAATTCATTTAAAAAAAATCCTCCACCCTTCTATTCCCCTTAATATAATCTCACTGTGAATGTCTCTTAGAAAGTAGAGGTTGAGTCCTGAGCTGTAAGTTTTGACTTTTCTCCTCTTGCCATTCTAGAGTACGTAGAAGGTGGTTAAGAGTCCTTGGTTGAGAACACAGGAGCAGATGGAGGACTTTTCTATGGGGGAAAAGCAATAAGAAAAGCATTTTGGTTTTTTTTTGTGACAGGGTCTGGCTATGCAGCTCAGCCTGGCCTTAAGCTCCCTCTGTAGTCCATGCTGGTCTCAAACTTGCACAAATCTTTGTGCCTCAGGCTCCTGAGTGCTGGAGCCACCATGCTCAGCTAAGAAAAGCATTTTATGTATTTGGTACAGGGTCTCACTACGCAGCTTGGACTCATAGTGATCCTCTTGTTTTCAACCTCCCCAGTGCTGGGATTACAGGCATGTGCCACCATGCCCAGTCTCATTGGCTAGCTCAATGCACCCAGGGGTGGGGCCGACATGGCCTGTGGTGCCAGGGATTGAACCCAGGTCCTGTGTTTACCTAAACATGTGCTTAATCAGCTGAGCTATCTCTCTGGCCATAAGAAAAGCATTTTAAAACAAACTTCTTAATTCATATGACTCATATATAGATGGTATTAATAATACAAGCTGCATGGTTCCTATTGGTACAAATAACTGTTTTTGCTCATGAGGTACTGTGTTTAGTTGCTTCTAACATGGTTGAACTGGATATGCTCTTAATATGCAAATGTAAACATTTTTAAATCTTTCAACATTATTATTTAAATTTTGTGCTATGTAAATATTACTCTTTTGGGGTAAAGTACTTGTGTATTGTTTTGTCTGTGGTCTAGAATGCTGACTTTTGTTCTTGTTCTGCTCTTAAGGTGATAACATCTTCCTGCATTTCAGTTTCACAGACTCTAGATAAGGAGTTCAGCCTAGATTAGTGGTTCTCAACCCTAGTTTCATCTTAGAGCCACTTTAGGAACTTTGCACATTGCAAATACCCCACTCCATCCCATATGGAAGAAATCACCAACTCTGAAAGTGGAGCCTGGTCACCCATGTGTTTTAAAGTCTCAAGCATGAGGATCATGAATTAGATCATCTTGTAGGCTTCCATCTTCTAGGTTTGAACATTTGTGGTTCATCATTTACCTGATATATTTACTTATAGGGTTCAAATTGCAAATCCATATGTAATTTTTTCCCTGAGCATCCAAGATCTTGCATGAGTTGCATTTAAAGGCATGCTCCCACGGTCCTTTGGTTCTGGTCTTCATCAAATCAGAGATTCAACAACATAGCAACACAGCCTTTCCACAAGTTCTGGGTCTTCTTGGGTGACAATCAGAATGTTGGAATGACTAAACTTTAATCATGAGTTGCCTTTATTTTCTGTTCTTACCGAGTCAACCACTTCATTAATTTCTGCTTCTCTTGAATATTACATTAATATTTCATCAGATGTTTTATTAGAGCGGTTATTCTAGAAATTTTGGATGTTTATCAAGCCACTGCAACCTCATGTGAAGGAGATGATTCTATACAAATTTTATTTTCTTTAAAAAGTTTTAATTTGTTTGGTGTTAGGAATTAAACTCAGGACCTTGTGCTTCCCAGGTAAGCACAGTACTGCTGAGCTATATCCTAGCCCGCCCAATTGTAGTACAATATAGTAAAAGTTAATATACTACATAGCTGTTAAGAATAGATTACTCTTGTCATCCCATTTTGAAAGTGGCACATGATGGGATGGAACCATGGTACCACTGGCTAGCTGCTTTCCTCTGTTAGAATTCACCTTCACTGACAGCATTACTGTCACTTAATTCTATGTGACAGGGCTTTTGGTATGCATTCTAAAATTTTTATCCACTAAGAGATTGTGATATAGTGCTGTACATACCTCTATAGTGTTTGCTCCCCCCACCACTTTCACACATGTAGACAAGAAAGAGTCCAATTCAGTTAAAATAACTAAAAAAATAAGTGAAGACCCTGTCTCAATTCATTCTCATTAGTTCCTGTAAACGTAAAATGTTGCTATTGGTGGAGAAGGGGAAAAGAAAGGATGTTATAGCTTGTGCGTAACTGTCCCCCAAAGCCTCACGTGGTCATACATGGGGCCTTTTCAGAGGTGGCTGGATCTGCAGTGTGTGATGCTGGAATTAATTCATAGTACAATACTAGGATCAAGGGCAGTAGGATTAAGGCTGTGAGTGCTACTCGCCCTAAGTACCCTGGGCAAGACAGAAGGCGTAAGAAGAGCTGGGTCCGCCCTTTCTGCTCCGCCGCCTTCTTCCCATTGTGACCTGTCTCTCCTCTGCAGTGCGCCTAGGCTATGACACCTCTGCAAACTGTGAGTTGAATAAACCCTTCTTCCTTCAACTTGCGGATGGCAGATATTTTGTCTCAGTAAGAGAAAAAAAGTAACTAAAACAAAATAGAATGAATTAAAGTGTAGCTTTGTATTTAATAATACTAATTTAATAGTTATATTAATTGTTGATTTAATACTTTGTTAACCTATAATCTTATAAAAGTATATAATTTGTTTCTAGAAAAATCTTATCCCTCCCTGCTCCAAATTGGTACAATTTATCCCCTAATTTCACACACGATTCAGAATCTCCTGTGCAAACCAAAGTTCTAATCCTGATTTAAAAATTTGTTGTTTTTCTTTAATGTTTATAAAAAAAAGAATTTGGGAACAGGTCACAGTAAATGAGAAGGATTTTTTCCCCCTGCTGGCTCAGGCTGCCTTAAGAGTGGCTTTAGTAAGGCATGTGGAGCTGGGGATCGAACTGCGGTATCCTGTGGTTTTTTTTTTTTTTTGTTTGTTTTGTTTTTTTGTTAAGTATTTCTTTTATTTGCATACTAGGCTTATAACTGTGTTTAACAAGCAAGCCCAGTATCAGTTAGCACCGTTAGACTCTGACCTGCTTTTGCAAGCCATTACTTTACAAATTAAACAAGGAATCAAATGTCTCCCACACACAATGCTCACTTGGAACAGCTGAAAATTTTTCAGTGAAAGCTTTAAAGACGAGCTCATGAATTCAGTTTTAAATTGTATCAGTTAAATTAGGTCAAATTTAAGAACTCATAGGAAGTTGTCTAATCAGAGCCCATTACTTATAAGGTATCAGACCACCCTTCCCCAGAAGCTATATAAGGAATATCTAACAAAATCAGAAAAATTTTGAATATTAAACCTTGCATAGTTATGAATCAGATTTGTTCCAGTATAACCAGGCTGAATACACATAACTTTAGCTAGTTCCTTATATACTCTAGAACTGACCAGGACAAAGCTCTGAATAGAAAAGCTGTGAGAAATAGATTCCTAACTACAGAAGCTGCAAACTTCAAAAGTGCATGAAAAAAACTATTGCAAATTTGATGTACTTTATGTCCAAATACTTTCTATAAAAATAGGTACAATTTTTACAGACAAATACAAGTTACTTTTGTTTTAAAAACTGAGACTAGTCCATATTTCTAACTATTGTTAGTCTACTCAAGAAATGCATTGGGCAGGCACTTAAACAACTGAGCTAACCAGTGGGTCCCCCAAGGTCACAGTAAATGGCAAGAAAAACTTACTAATTATTGATGCTATTGGACCATAAATATAGCTGGTTTCATATCGAGTTGATATAACGTCAGCGCCAATCTTTGCAACTTTGTTCTGGAAAGATAGGAAAGTTACAGTGGAATAATAAAATACTTATATTAATTCATTTGCTAGGTACTGAAAATCCATCTTACAATCCATCTTACAATAATCCAGGTTATTTGTCATTTGAATATCAAAAATAATAGGAAGGATTAAATGGGAAACATTTTCAGTAAGATATATCATGGACTGTAAGCCCTCTACATGTGCAATCAGTTGTATACAGTAGCACCAGATGTCATTTTCTCTTACTTTCTGTTAAACTATGCATTGTTTTTCAGCATTTTTTTCTGAGGTGCAGTTTAGATATTTGTCTCTTCCAGAGTTAAGCCCCTAGGGTCCTTTGGGTAGAACTGTCTTGCTCCATTACTGCAGGAAGTTTCTCCTGCAGGTTTTCTATGTAGAGTTACATTAAAAAGTTTCCTTCTCTCTATACTTTTATCATATAGAAATTAAAGATCATGACTTGAACTCCAAATAAAACTTAATTAGTCCTTTTCCTTGGTATCAAGATATGGAAGTTCTCCAACATGACACAAATTAATAAAGAATGGACTGAAAAAACAATGGTGATGGCATTATAGACCACAGATTTTTTCCTACGCACCAGGTCCTCATGGTTGGCTGGCAGCTCAGTTGTGTATCCATAGGGAAACAGCAGCATCTGGGAGTAGGAATGGAAGGTGATGTAAGCTTTGATGGATTTCAGGTGGCTTCGAATAAAGGCAGTGACAGCTTTTGTCTCTTTCTCAGATTCTGGTGCAGAGCCCCTATAGATGTTACTACACGGGTTATTATTGTTCAGAGAAGCTGCAAAAGACATGAGAGGATGAGATTATAATCTGCTCTCAATCAGTACACCTGCCTCTTCTGATGTGGATTCCCCAAATATCCTAAATATTTCAACCTCACATGTTTATAGAGCTACCTCAATGTCTCTTGAGACATAGCCTAAGTGTATGTATATGCCGTGTTGTAAAATTTAGTACATGAGGCTGTTCTTAAATTTGTCTACTTTGACCCCCCTCACCTTCCTTATGGCCATAGGAAAAACACACCAAAAGCATCCCAGGGCTTAGAGCCAATAGACAATCATTTCAATTCTATTCCAGCTCTGACTTGCTGGGGACTAGGGTAAAGACCTTTACTGAGCTTTAATTTTTTTCAATGTATAAGAGGCTTTTCACTAGCATTACCTATAACCATTATCATTATGTTAGAATTAAACACTGAGGTGATATTTTTAACTTACATAAATGAAGAAGACACATGTGAATTGGGATAGTGGTGATTTCTGCCCAAAAGAATAATGATAGTTTTATTTGGATAGCAACAACATCATCTGATAAAGAAGGCTTCTTATTTTTGCATTTCTATTAAATATTTTCACTTTTGGCCCACCCCACCAGATGTTTCTTTTCACTAAGCATCTAAAGAATTACTTGTATTTCCGTTTTTCCCACTGGCATTTCTCAACTTTTATCAGAGCAAGAACAGAAGGGACCTGTGGTCTCTTCAGTTTATCTGAATTTTTGTGTATCTGGATTTCAACGATTTTTTAGACAGCTAGATATGTTCAGTGAGAGATGGTTTGATAAACAACTGCTCCCTAAAAAGCCCCACTCATCTCTCCATGGTAGTGATGTTTATCTTCCCTTCAATAGATGAGAAAGTTAATGTTGTTTTCAGAGAATACTTATTTTTTACCAAAATAAGTAAGTGGTTTAATTGAGTTTTTTTTTATTAATTAAAACATGTAGTGATGCACCACACAAGTATAAATACTGCACGATTCCTCTTATATGAGAATCTTTCATGTGCTCTGTACGTATATTCAGTTTCTAAGTGCTCGAGCAGTTGTCCTTGAGAGCAGGGGCTACCACTCACAGTTCCACAAGACATCAAAGTTCCTGTTGAGGTCTGTGCCAATGCAGCTGGAGTTGCGGTTCCTGGAGCGATTTTTTCTCCACAGTCGGTTCTGTGAGGTTGTCACACGGAAGCGTTTATATCAGATCAGTTTGCACTTTTCAATTTGACCATCTAGATTCTCCTTTCCGGTATCTATGGCTTTATTTGTAATTTACCTAGCTAAGATGAGTGCTTTTATTTTAAAGAAACATATTGTGTCCTTGTAATTTGTAATTAGAAAGGGATGCCCATATTCTTAGGACTTGATGAAATGATTCAATTAGCTTTAAAAACTGTTGCATAGTTCTTAGTATTACAGAACTGTCATGTTCTGGAATTATGTGTGAATTAAATTATAACTTGATTATATTTTCTATCATTTGTAAGAACATAGGTCCTAGGAAAGAAACTGATGTTAGAGTACCTCTCTGAAAGTTCATTATAGATCTTTTTAAAAAACAGAGCAATGAAACATCCTGTCAAAAGACTGTGGTCTGTGACTTTTTCTTTTAAGTCAGTGTGTTTGTAAAACTATCTAAATTTTTTTTTAAGGTAAAATAGGCTTTTGCCATTTCATGTATTCATGCATTTCCTTTTAATGACCTCTTTATTTCATTTTTCCATGTTACTACCTTCAGCAGCAAAAATTTCATATTATTTCAAGAATTTGAACAATAAGAAATTAGAGTTGGCTTACTTTGAAATTAAAAAAAAATTAAATGTCCAGATTTCTGAACTGGAATTACATCATGACCCAAATCTTATATTTTATACATAACTATAACTATGCAGTAAAGCCAATAAGTAATATATTACTTAAATGCAAATAGAATTTAGAGCAGTACCTGTGTCCATGACCAAATATATCCATCCACATTGAACACAGGAAGAACATAAAAATTCATTTGGTCCAAAAGTTTGGTCATAATTTTGTTTTTTCCATAACTTTTTGTTGCCTGTAAATATAAGTTTAAAAAAAATCAATGTGTTGGTATGAAATTTAGTTATCATGTAGTAAGATGTGGTTCTAATAGTCATGACTACCATTCTTCAAGTCATTTGCCTGCACTTAGGTGATTTTAAATATACTTTTCTTAAGCTGTGCAAAAATGAATGACTCATCAAGATTATAGAAAGACTACTTTTGTATACTAGTGACACTACTTGAAGTATATTCTTTAATGGGTCAATTAATTATTGAAATTTAAAGTATCCAAAATGTAAGAGGAAAGATAATTTCATGGGAAGCATAGATGCTACAGAGAAAATTAATAATGTTACTCATTTTGCCTGGCTATTTCCCCTTATGCCCTTTCTATAAATACAGATTGAGTTTATAAGCATAGGGATATGGAAATATTGGGGAAATGTTTAACATGTTTATAAATAGGATTAAAGAAATAACTTTATTTTATTTTTTTTTGGTGTTGGGAATTGAACCTAAGCCTCATGCGTACTAAGTAAATGCTCTACCACTGAGCTGCATATACCCTGAACCAAGAAAAAATTGTTTTAATGAAATATAAGACCCAATGCTATTATAGGCTACTGGACTCTTTTAGAATATTTTGCTGAGTTTACACACCTATAATATTCAATAACGGAACTTAGAACAAATGTGATATACCTATGAATGTCCATTTTGTATCTGTGTATTCAAAGTGGTTGGGATAGATACATAGTTGCATTCTCTTAATGAATAGAATGATTTGTTCTAATGGTGTTTGTAAATAGGATCACAAGTCCGCATCTTGTACAGCAATTAACCACTAAGAAGAATATATGCAGTGTATTATTTGTTGAAACTGTCCTTCCGATATGATTTGAAACTGTCTCATTGCTATCTGTTTATCAAACTTTGAAAAAAAAAACTAAAAAAAAAATTGTTTTAATGAAAATCTTTTTAAAATTTTTTAATTTTAATTTTTTAATTTTAAGAGAGTACAAATTAGAATTAAAACAAAAAATTACAAGTGATATAGAATTTCACTTAACAAAGTAATATGAATTTCACAGTATTTGTTATAGTATGTAGTGTTGTCTTCCAACCAGTTCTCTTTTCAAGAATTTAGAGGCTGAACAGTCCAGTCAACTTTTTCTCATGTCTGACTCAAATTTTTCTAATTATTTGGACTTTCTGTGGATACAAAAATTCTCTCTTGTCACTCTTAGAAAATTTCTAATAGATATTTGTTTGCTGGAGTTAGGCAATCTTTTGTAGTACTATGGTGTGTGTACCTTTACGGGCTAAAGGAAACACTTGGTCTTTAGCTGGAGAATTAGCAGAGCTGCAGGGCTGAGTCATTCCACTGTGAGAGTCTTTCCCAGTGAACAAACTGATGACCTATTGCTATGCATATGTGTTATGTGCTAAAGCTGGGAGGAAGTTAAAAAGTCTTAGGAGTCAAATAGTATTAGCAGTAGAGTGTGATAAAAAAGCATCTGAAGTGACTTTGCTGTCAAAAATTGAGTTATTTCTCACTTGGAAAGGAAGTTTAAATATTAAAAATTCCAAGTTCATGAACTGACATTGTAGTCTCTGAAATGAAGTTCATGTTTTGAGCTCACTCAAGCTAAGTCAAACTTGTAGGTTATAATATGAATTTAGTTTCAAATTTTACATGTTTAACTCCAGGAAAAACTTCCATATCATAGCACAAAAAGTTTCCTCTAGGTTCATAAATTCTCAGCTGGAGTTCAAGAAGTTTGACTGAAGGTGTAATTTTATAAAAGCCAAAACAATGAATAAAATCTAGAGAATTTATATCCTTGACAGCAGCAAATAAGGGCTATTCTAGTTAAGTGGACCTGTGCTTATTTGGAAAGGGGTGTCATCTCTTAGTACAGCGCAGGAAACTTCCCAGTCAGAGGAGAATCATAAGTGTTCTGAGTCACTTGCCTGATAGACAAACCACTGGCAGAAAGCTGGGGCAATCCATTCTCGTGCATGAATGCCACAGTCCATAAAAATAGCCTTTCTTGTTTCATCTTTTCCAATCTAGTTAAAAATAAACTTGAGACATTATTTTGCACGAACTCACACATTGATCCCTTGTCATCCCATAGCTCATTCATATTCTCAGAGCAATTCTTCCCTGTCTGTTGCTGAACAGGAGCTGTGTTTGCACAGATTGTTCCCAGGGAAGATGAGGGCACAGCTCCTTCCGTGTCTATACATAATTCATAATCCGGTACATTGTATTTTTCACAAATTTTCCTAGTGTCAGAGCTGCCTTTCAGTTTTCTTTTTTCAAAAGATAATTTATTGTTTTTCTTACTTTACTGATAACATCTGATGTTTTGAGATATAAAGTTACTTTTATTTCCTTTTATTTTTCTCGTTTGGGGCAGGAGGTTGTTTAGCCTGAGGTGAAGATTTTGTATGGTGTTTGGAATGGGGAGGAGGAACAGCAGCAGACATCTGACAGTCTGTCATTTTGAAGAGTTTAGTATAATTTTGGGGTGGTTGGAGAGATGCTGGGTGGATGGGAAAGGATTGGCTTCCCAGTAATTCATGCTGCAGGCTGGAAAACAATGAAGCAGCAGCCGAAGTGCAATGGCCAGCTCTGTGCTAGGAGGAAATCCCACATCTGCACAGAATTGAAATGCCTTATGTACCTCTCTGGGGTCTTTGGAGTCTACGATATTACATTTTTTCTTCATGACGTTAATTTATTATTTTCACTGAATTTTAATGGGTGGAAAAGGAGTTCATACATCAGAGGTAATGAGGCTATGGAATGAGATACTTGTAGTTTATCCACGATGCGGTCACTGGCCAATGCTCTTGGCTCCCCTGAAAACCGTCTGTTATTTCTATTCATGCTCTGAAGTTTACAGTAAATATTCTTCAAAAGATTAGGCTTGTTGCTGTCTCAAACTTAGCTGAGTTGTAAAACAAAGTAATCCTTAAATTAATGCTTTTCAATAACAATAAGAACCAGTAGGTCTTGAATTATTTTTACCTTGAGAATATATAGTGGATTATCTTCAACAGTTGACCCAATTTTGATCCGAGAGACCATTTCAGGATACTTAGTCACCATTTTTTGAGTCCAAGCTACAATCTTAAAAGAGCAAAACCAATGGTGAGGAATTCCAACAAAGAAAAAAATATAACCAAGAAATGATGAAGGTAACATTTTAAAAAGAATTTTATGCTGTACCTTGTCCCAGTTATTGTATTTTGCATAACTGTGCCTGCCAGAGATATCTTCTTCAACATCAAACTGTTTCTCAATCTCTTCTTGTAGATCATGTATTAGGATTCTATTTGACAGAAGAATGATAAAGTATATGTATTATCACGGGAAAGAAAAATGCAGCTATCTTTCCTTTGCAAAGAAATTCTTCTCCCTCCTCTATTTTTATCCAAATTTGTTCTTTTTCTTCACTATTCTTCCCCATAAATTTCCTTTGGGTATGTCTTTTGTGTGTGGCTTCTGAGTCCCCTTTTATCTAGAGGTTCTAATAGGATGATCTTCATTTACCAGTGGCTAACAAGCACTTAAAATGGGGTTTGCCCAAAGATAGAGATGGCTGAACATTTAAAATAAATTCTAAATTTTGAAGTATTTGTATAAAAATTATGAAAACTATCTGTAAGTTTTATATAGATTATATGTTGAAACAATATCTTGAATATATTTGGTGAAATAAAAATTTACAACTGAAATCAAGTTTACCCATTGATTTTTTTAATCTTTTAAAGGTGACTAGGATACTTAAAATTGCACATCTTGCTTATGTTATACTGTTGTAATATTCCTCATTCTTCTCTATAGCACACACACACACACACACACACACACACACTCACAGACACGCAATACACCCTGCAATGAACATTTTAGGCATCAGTCTAAAAATCGTTTCTTCTTATTTCATACCTTGAGAGCTTGAAGAACTTGAGTAACACTAGTGACAATGTTAGTAAACAGATATTTAGCACTTACCATGTGCTACCTTGATCTTTATGTATTGCAACTCATTGTATTTGCACGTGAGATTATGATCTTCATTTGAGATGCAAAGTGTTTTTTTAAGTTGCCTATTAAAAAATAGGTTGCCTAGTTTTTCTAAAGCTAGAAATAGCTGAAGGCGTTATAGTTTGGGAGGAGTGTAAAAAGAGGCAAGAAAATCATTGGGAAGCTAATGTTGGAGGTCAGTATAATGTCAAGTGAAGTAACTGAGGCACAAGTTCAAATATCTCCTGGTTTCTCTCAGTGAAAGAGAAATGTACAGTATGCACAGTAGGTATCAGTATGCACAAAGTACCAAATAAATGACAGATAATAAGAATGATGAGAGAAAATGGATTATAATCAAGTATGGACAATGTATCTAAAAATGTATCTTGATTTAATACTATTATCTTACTATAAGTCTAGTTTTCATTCTGTATATATGATAATTAAACTTATAAGGCTTTATAAAGTAAATAAATAAATCTGATGCTGGAAATTTTAGGGAGGGGTAGAGGGTAGTAGAAAAAAGAATTGAAATGTGTTATATACACTGAATGTAATAATTACTACTATAAACATATATAATACAAGTAAAAAGAAAACAAGGCTGTTGTCTTCACCACCTGCCAATTTTCATGTCTTTCAGAGGCACTCCGCCTTCCACCGCATCTTTCAGGGTCCCCGGACTTTAAGGATTGGCTGCCCAGTGCTTGGCTGTGCTTGACTCTCTAGCTCGGCCTCTCCTTGAATTCCAGGCAAGCATCTCCAGCTGCCTACCCTACATTTGTTTAGGCTGCTTTAGATTAATATGAGCCAGCTACTGCTTTACTGACATTATTTAATCTTAATCTTGCCAAGATTATTATTATTTGATAGTGAGAAAATTATTGCTCCAGAGAGTTTAGATATACATAGTTTACATGTGATGGATTTGGAAATTTGAATCTAAAATATTTAACTTTAAGATTCATGTTTCAAAAATGCTACCTTTATCATATAGACACTTCTTTTTATATTTTATTTGTTTTGAAATTTTCTATTCAAATCTATTAATATGGTTTTTAATTCTTATGTAAAAACAAGCCATATTTAAATGTAAAGTTTAATTTTGAGTAGTCTGCTTATTCTTTGTTTTTAATTTTTTTGTTCTGTTAGGATAATTTTGGAAATCATTAGAATCATAAAAATACTAGGCTTTTAGGGCCAGCAAGATACCTCAGCAGACTAAGCACCATCTTAGGCAAGCACAGGGACCAGAGTTCGATCCTGGGTGCTCCGTGCCTCTGGGTGTATGGAGCCAGCCATGGAGACCACGTGTGGTGGCACATGCCTGTAATCCCAGCACTGGGGAGGCTGAAAAGAGGAGGATCATTATGAGTCCAAGCTGCATAGTGAGACCCTGTCCAAATACATGAAAGAAAAACTGGGCTTTTGATAGGAATTGTATTACTGATAAGTTTGAGATGAATTTTATTGTCAATATTTGACCATAATATAGTTGCTCCTTTTAAATTCTTTAGTAACATTTTATATGTGTGAATTGCTTATTCATATATTTTAAAATTAACCTCATCCATGGTTTTTCTCTCAAAATTTTAAATTTTAAAATTTTTTGATTTAAAACAAACTACTTTGGTTATATTTATCTACTAGTCAGTATATTATCTTAAAAGCTATCTTTTACATTTAAGACATTTTTATATTGTCTTCAGGGTTTATGTGCAGTTATTACTCTTGTTATTACTTTCGCCAATTTAGTTTCTTCTGCACGTAGCTTTTTTGTTCTGAAAATATCTATTTTCCCCCAATTTTTCCTTGCTTATTACATTGGTTAAACCCTGAATGATGAAAAATAATGCTAGTGAAAAAGCCATTCTTGTTTTCTTTTTGCTTTTGATAGGCACACTTGTTTTTCAGAATTAAGTATGGTTGAATGCCACCTAAGAATAATATAACAACATCGACTTATGTGATGTGATTATTACCATGCACTGAGATAAAGTTATAATGAAGTCTATTATTAGGTTCCTAAATAGGTTAAATACTGTGTTACAGATTTAGGCTATTTACAAATAGCCTCACAAAGAGCTGCTCTTTTTCTTGTGAATTGCGTTCTAAAATGTTTGATTGATCTAGAATAAATGCACTAGATGACTTGCTAAAAGTGAGTGTAGGTGGACGTTCACTGACAGAAAAATAACTAAGAAGGGAAATTACCTAGACGGAAGGATAGGCAAGCACATGACAGGGGTGAGTGTCCCTGGATGGTGGTCTAGGTATCCTTAAATACTTTTTAAAACTTCCATAGTCCTTGAGAATATCATTCTCTTAAAACACAGTATGAAAATCATATTTGTATGATTCATGTCATTCTTTATGCAAAGGTATGCTTTATTTTGTAGTTCATAGCACTGTGGCCCATGATGGAAATATTTAAATGAAAATGTTTTAAAGTAAAGAGCATTTGAAGTGGTTTATGTAGAAGTTTCCTTATTTGGATTATCTCATTCCCATTGACTCCATGTAAATAAAAGTATTACCCTACTGTTGGTTATGAAATATACATGTATTTTTCTTTTGATAGCAATGACTCTTGAGTGTAAGATGGTGCTATTTTTAAGCATTCATTCTAGTCCTTTTGTAGGTATTTACCTAAGTGGGAAGCAGTAACCTGTACTCAAACATCCTTGAGTTTTAGCCCCAGTTCTGCCTCTTAATACAGAATGTGGGCAGCTTAAGTATTTCTCTGAGCTTCAGTTTTCTCCCCTTTACAAGGAAGACCAAATATACCACCAATGATTATGATAAAGATGAAATGAAGAGAAATATGAGAGGAGCTTGGTAAGCCTTAGGCATCCAGTGAACTTCAAACTACTGGAGCTGACTTACAATGCTAACTACCACTTTGTGGAATTGACATTTTAAACTCAAAGTTAATGGGATGCTCTTGTTTGATTCTGAAATATTCAATTTCTTATGAAAATAAATGGTAAAGGTGCAGAGAGTTCCTTTCTACTTGGTTTCTTCTTACAGACTGACTGACTGATCTGAGTTCTGATGCAGAACAGAAATGCAGCACACTCCTAATTAGAGTTTATTTAACACATGGGACCAAGTACTGCTCATGAATATTGATTCCCATTAACAACGCTGACAAGCACATTATTATGCACATTACATGTAACTCGCTGTATGCTTTACTTTTGACCTATGAATCTGGGATTTCTGAGAAGGTAAATGTGTGACAGCAATTTGGGGATCAGGCGGGGAACATTGCACTAAAACTCAGAGGAGGCCTGAGGAGATTTGAAGGGATATTTCGGGTGGTCGCTACAGATATAATTAATGGCTTTAAGGGAGAACACAGCTTTTGCCCCACCACATTCACAGATAGTAGAGGAATCAGGCAAAAGAGAAGTTTTATGGTTTTAGAGGCTGATTCATTATATAAGGCAATATTAAATAGTTATGGGAAGCTTGTATCTAAGAATATTTTTAGACTTATATCAATTTAGGTCTTGTGAGAGCAGTGGCAGAAAGAAAAGCACATGAGCTAAAATACGACCCTTCTACAACTGCAGCTGTGGAGGACATCAGAAGGGGGCCAGATTGTTGCTGAATGGGAATAGAAATTAAGCCTAAGGCTGGAAATTAAGAACTAGGGCCAGATGTTATCTTCATAAGCCCCTTCACTAACCAGCAGCCAGGCTAAGCACATGAAACCAAATTACTTTCCACCAAATATTATTTTAGTGCTCCAAGATTTGCTTACTTTATTAAAAAATATTCCCTAAATGTGGGTGAAAAGATAGACAATTATCTTTGGGATTTAGTAATACAAATGGCTGATGTCAATTGAGATTTTCATATGTGCTAGGCATTCTGCTAAACTCTCTTTACATTTTGTCATGTCAGTACTGTCCTGTCAACAGTAGTAATTGGGAACCATTATCAACCCCGTTTGTATGAAGGTTAAGTCTGTTTCCAAAATTGTCACAACTGTTAAACTATAGGAGATGGGATTTTGAACCTTGAAGTGTCTGTCTCCAGTACCCTAGCTGGAATAATCACACAAGAGTGTCTTCAGCACAGGATGGAATCCTTGGGGATTGTCATGGGATCTGTACTCCCCCAGTCTTCAGAGGCTTGTGCAAGGCTTGCCTCATTGTAGGGTTGGATTTTATTGATACTTACTTTATACCAGGATAGCAGTTATTCAGAAAGTGGGGTTTTAGTTTCCACAAAATTCAATTTTATAACTCTCTACTTGGGTTACTGTGCATCAAATTACACTTACACAATTTCCCAACTGTGTGCTACCATGTGTTAGATAATACACTTTAAGGCACTAATTCATTCACTATGAAGGAAAAGGAGCATCTGGTGTGAGCCTCCAGTTATTGTTACACTATTTGTGTGTACATGTGTGTGTGTATGTGTGTGTGTGTGTTAGCGGGTGTTATGCGTGTGGTGTTTGCGTATGTGTACACTCATATAACCACAAGTATAAATGGCCCTTCCCCTAACTGAATTAATAAGTAAAGGAACCAGTTATTGAGGGATTTTTATGGTCTCAATCTCCATGAACCCCCCCCGCCCCACCCGATGAAATAGTTGCCATTATATTCACAACTTTACAGATGAGGTGAATGAGGTGGTGAGAAGTTATATAAACTGACAGTGTGAAATACCTGTGGTTTTAATGGCACTAGTTACAGATGGACTTGCTTCTGAATTCATTTCCAGACCTACCATACTCCTGTTTCCTACCATGGCCAGTACATCTTCAACATTCATAGTAGGCCTCATCTACATGTTATACTCTTGGGCAAATATGTAAAAATGTGGAGCAGAAGGAAAATAAATGGATGACACATTAGATGAGTCATTAGAATGATTATTTGATTGAGACACTTATTTGATAAGACTGTGTATGTACTTAGAATATGAATTTGTGTTTGGCTGAACATTATTAGCTAATCAGACATTGATCTGAGTGTTGTTTATCACTGTGGAAGTTTGGTATGTATCTATTTTGTATTCCCTGATATAATCTTATGTAAATCTTGATAAAATTTTACTTAAAAATATCATTTGAGATTTATTATTATATTAAAATTTGTTTTATAAATTACCTTTTGTTAGTAACTCTATTTTCTAATTTTAACTTCTGATCAAAGAAAGAGCCATATTAAAGGTTATCTAAATGTAAAAATATTTAGTGCAATCACTGGAGTTTCAAACATTCAACTCTTAGTATGGTAACTGTCCCTCAAATCTTAGCACAATGGGTGTGGTTTCCTTTCACCATTTATTCACCAGTCTGTATGTACTATTTGTATCTTGGACGTGGCTTTTTGTGATTTTGTAAAGTGTAAGTAAAAAGGAAATAGGGATGCTACTTTAAAATCAAAGATGGCTTTGTAATTTCATTTTCTGAAAATTAAAAAAAATCACACACAGATGGTTTTAACTAAATAGTGTTTATATGCATTGTCTAATGAAGGGTGTCTAACTAAATCATTTTGTCAAACCAGCATCTTAATATGGTTTTCTTCAGCCTGGTGCTTGGGCTCAACCAGATGTTTCTGTTCTTAGAACCCTCTTCTGTTACTGACTGACACCAAGTAACACATATAATTAATATGCAAATAAAATTATCTATATAATTAGTGCTCAGAGACAAGATTTTAAATAGTTCTTGTCTGCACAGATCACTTTACATATTTTTATTTTTGAGGAAGGTAACTATCTAATTATGTGGCTTTCCCACAACTGTGGCTAATTTGGGCCAATTTCTAGAAATCATGTCTTAATTAGATAAAACTAATTTTTAGAGGTAGTTTAACACTTTCCTCCTTGATGTAGCTAGCAGGAAGCTATCTTGGCCCAAGAAAATATGAAAAAAAACAAACCACGAGGGTCTAGGTTAGAGTCAGAGTCATTTAAGGCCAGACAAGGTTTAGAAGAAAGAAGAGGAAACAGGATACATGTGGGTCACTTGATGAAGTGGAAGATACCAGACACCTACCTAGGTATTGTCCAGTGATTCGCTTTACTGTCCAATGTCATATCAAGCAACTAGTCACTTGTGTACTGTACAAGGGTGCAAGGAGAACATGATACATGAGATTTTAATCCTGCTCTTCAAGCCACGTTGTATATAGGGTGGAAGTGTGATTTCTTTCAGACAAGAAAAAAACAACTAATTTGAAGATAACATGCAATGCAGCAACTATTGTTGAATTCTTACTACTTTCTTAAGTGAAATTTTATATCATTTCTAATTTTTTAAAATTACTATTTTGTATGCTTTATTTTTTTATTTTGTATGCTTTAAAAAATAAAAAATAAAAAACCAAGATGGTATCTGAATTAATTGTAAACATATTCTAGAATATTCCATAAGTTTCTGCAATCCTGGAGGCATATGTTTGAAGTGTTTACTTCTAATTTAATGGTACAACTTATAAAAACATAAAAATCAATGGTTTGTGCTGATATAGATTAATTTTGAGTTACATTTACATTTTATCCAATCTGTTAACTTCTCTATTTATATCACCATCCTCTGTAACAATAGCAGAAGCCAAAATAGTGATCAATAATCATCGCAAACAATAGCCTGCTACATTTTAAACACAAAACAAATGCTTTTTGCTTACTTGTCTTATGTATATCTCTTCTTAATTTATATTTATTTGTGGTATTGTAGTATATCGTAAGTACAATCAAGTAATGAGTAACAGCCAGTCTTACTCTGTTGTATAATTACAGACAACAATAGGATCTTTCTTAGTCTGTGGATGCCTTTTGAATTAACTCTTCAATGTCCGGTGATCCATGAACTGTTCTCTCTCTCTCTCTCTCTCTCTCTCTCTCTCTCTCTCTCTCTCTCTCTGCTGAACTGGGGATTGAACTCAGACCCTTGCGCTTGCCAGGGAAGCACTTATTCCACTGAGCCATCTCCCTGGCCCCGAACTGTTTTCTCTTTAAAGTCTTGTTCCTGGAATTTTTCTAGCCAACATCTGTGAATTTCATGCAAAAGTTAAAAAAACTTTCAATCTTTGGCATAAGCTGCTTAGAGCAGTACTTTAGGGGAAGAAGGCATCAAATATTGAATTAAAAAGGAAGTAACTTATTTTGACAGGAAGAGTCTCAATAAAGGAAAATCCTGGAACAACAAGGCCTGGAGAAATTGCAACTGGACCTTTGTTTGACAGTGCAGTATAAAGACACATTTCTTTTTTCAAATTTTGCATTGATTTGAGATATTCATGGCTAAATTCTTTAATGATTCATGATTTCAGGGGCCAGACTGTACATGCCCATGGATGGTGCTCAATAAACTCTAATTTAAAAAACATTCTCTGTAGGACTATGCCGATTCATTTTTGCATCTTTATCTCTTTGAGATTTTTCTCTTCTTTAAGTCTTGTTCTATTGCTTTGCTGTTGTTTACTGTGAGGAAACATTTCTTTCATGAAGAACTACTTATTCATCACATAGTTTACATTAAAATATCCCTGATTTATAGAGGTGAACTTCCTTGTTGGATCTCCTTTTATGTCAGGAGAATTCAAATGCAAGAACATGGTGCTGGTCAGCATCCTTAGCTTCTCAGCTCCAGGTTGATTACATCTCAGTGGGGAAGTTGTATGGTTAATCTATCTGAGTCCACTCATGATCTGTACTTAGGAGGAGCTGGTTTTGGAGATAGCAGATGTAAGTAATTGTCATTTTTGCAGATCAGACTGAGTGCAAGATAGAAGATGAACTGCCCATGATGTTATCACCTTGAGAAACATGCTTTAGTATTCTGTTTGAAAGTAAGTATGAACTATACATTGCACACAGAACTCTAGTTTTTGTGGGGCTCAACTTAAAAGTAGTTCTACTATAGTACTTCAAAATCTCAAGGCTCTCGAAATTTTGAGTATCTAACACATCTGAACAGTCAAAAAAGACTTACTCATAGTGCATTTTGTTTTGATCCAAGGCAGACTGGAGAGATTGGGATTCTTTCTCACTAACTCGGAAATCCACCGTCATGTTAGCAGTCACATGGTGTGTGGCATCTGGATACCAGAAGTCGAGCTGCAAAGATGAATTCACCATTATGTGATTACCAACACGTATGTGCTAAGAAATGACCGTGTGCTCTGCACCATGAAAGGAATTTGGGAGTCAGTGTAACTAAGGGATGGGCCCCTCTCTTAATGAGAGGAGGTTTTTTTTTTTTTTTTTTTTTTTTTTTTTTTTTTTTTTTGGTCTGTGTATGCATTTGAGAAATGTTGAATATTAAGGAGTGAGAAAGAAAATATTTGTAGTGATTCCTGTTTCAGAGCATTGTATCTATCAATGTAAAAAGGAGGGGCGGCCCTTTTGGTTAATCCCTCTGTTTCTCCTGTTTTGGAGTTTAATAGGATTAATCATACTTGATTCAGCCATAGTGTCTGGTTTGAATTGAGAATTTATGTTAAATATCTGCTCCCCTCCCCATCAGGCCTCAAAAGCAGATATCTGTGTAAACCTCCGAAACTCCCGGAAGGTTTGCACATAGCAAGAAGGCGTAGCCTCCCATCCCCACCACTTTTTAAAGCAACGGAGCCCTGGACAAGTTGCTAAAACTCTGAGTTTCAGTTCTCTTTTCTGAAAAATTGGGCTAACAGGACCCCCTGGAGAGGGTATTGAAGATTGTGAAATGAGTCTAAGGTCTGGGACATGCAGGGATTTAATAAGTGCCGATTTCCTTCTCTCTCTATTCCCTGAGCTGAGATTTCCAGAAATTTAGTGACTGGGCCTACAAGAACAATATTCAGGTTAAAATAGATTTGAAAGCATTCCAATTCTTGTGGTTGTTCAAGATTGTACTAAATTGAGAAAACAAATCATGTGTTTGTTCCAATCTGTGAGATGTAAAGGTATTGCTTGATTTCTGTCCATCACGCTAAGATTTTTTTTTTTTTTCTGTATTTTAGGGAAGAGTCTTCAGGGTGTTCAGGGTCTTACTACTAGATCGGACTCATAGTGATCTGCCTGTTTATGGCCTCCCAAGTGCTGGGATTACAGGCGTGCACTACCACCCCCAGTCTCAATTGCCCTCTCAGCATGCCCTGGGTATGGGGCTGGCACGGCAGGCCCAGGGATTGAACCCCAAACCCCTGTGCCTGCTTGCAGGTGCTTTGCCCCACTGAGCTATTAGGCTGGCCTTATCACATTAAGAATGTGAGTGTGTCTGTATCTGTTCACCTGCCTCTTAGTTAAATCTCACTGTAACTAGGTGAATCCGTTATTGGACAGCATGAAGATTCTATGAACCAAAAGTATGGCTATTTACTTAGATTAAAAAGTTACAGAATGAGTTGAAGTTGGACATCTGAGCGATGCAGTGTCATTTATAGGCAATTTAGTTTGGCCATGATACCAAAATAACGATTTCTCCAGGAAGGTACATAATAAGAAGTAAGATTCTAGAACTCAGTGAACCGTTATGAACATTTATTGAATACCAGACACAGAACTGTCTATCACAGTTAAAGAATCTAGTGGGGGAGTTATGGAAAGAAGAAGCTTTGTGTGGAGATGGAACTATATATATGTATTTCTGACATGTTAACCAACACCTGAGGAAAGAGCAGTGTTCCAGGAAAACAAGGAAAAAGCCAACGTGGCTCATGAGAGCCCATGCACAGAGAAGCTCTCCTGCAGGAGACATTGGCAGCGCTGTCTTGGAAAATAAAACTTAGGCAGGTGAAAAGAGAAACGTTCTTGATGAGAAAAGAACATAAGGTGTCTATGAAGCTCAAAGACCAAAAGAATACAGGAACAAGAGAACAAAGAGTGTGGCGCTTTGGCAGATCACAAAGAACTTTGAATAGCAACAGAAAACACAGAAAATGCTTCTCCAGTGATTATCATGGCAAGGACAGCTTCTGAGAGCTGAATCAAAGCCTGCTTAATCTATAAGAATATTGGAGGGTAGTGTGATGATGATTAGCTAGTAGAGCCAGGAATATGGTCAGGGGCACAGTGTGCCTTCTTAGCAAGCGAAAAAGGCTTTGAGTTTGGTTTCTGGCACAAATAACAAACAAACAAACAAACCCATAGGATAATTAGCTACATTTCACAGAAGAAGAAATTGGGAACTTGTGAGGCTGAGTAGGTTGCGTACCACTGCAGAGCTGGTGTAGAGCTGGGAGTTGAACTTTAGCAAGTGGCCCTGAAGAATCGGCCTTTTGAGGACAAGGCTGCCTGTCAATAAAGAACTTTAAATGGAGATGTGATTGTTGAATTTTAGAGAAGCAATCAGATTACAGTGCAGACAAGACTAGAACCCTGAATGCTGATTAAAGTACTTTTGAGATCATCCCAGTAAGAGACAAGAAGAGCAGAGACAGTGGCAGTGGAGAGGAAAATGTGGATATGCGAAACAGTTGGGAACTAGAATAAATAGAACTATTGACTGATCTGATGCAGAGATAATATATGTGACTAGATTTAATACCAGCTTTGTTTGTGTTTGAATCAGATACAAAAATCTAGATTTACATTTTTGTAATTTAATTTAATTTGCATCTTTGAACTTTAGTTCCTCTGTCTTAAATGAGTTACATTATGACCATGACATTGCAAAGCTGTTGGAAAATCTGAGAGAATGAAGGGAAGATGGCTGACACAATGACACAATGTACAGGAGCAGCTTCATAAATGATAACATGATTATTTTGGCCTGTTGGATTTTGAGGGAATGATCTAACTGCAAGAGCCTCCTGTTAAAGTATATCTGCTCTTGGAGAGGGTCACCTTGACAGCAGCTAGTATGTTGACAGTGTCAGTTTGTATTGTAACAGAAAGTGTGTCACCAAAGGAGATCAAAGTGGGAGAAGGGACAGTTGACAGCACTGGGTGAGGAGGGAAAAGAGGACCCGATACGGGTGCCAAGATCATCCCATTGTTTTACAGTTTTACCTAGCAAAAGCTGTTACTCACAAAGCTCTGTGGAGGAAAAACAAACTGCATTCTATAAAAACAAAACAAACAGTGAAATATTGACCACTGCTGAGTTATCCAAGTAGTTCTGGAGATTTTCCTTTATGTTTGACAGTCTTTGGTTGCCTCACTGTGGGCATTAAAAATAAAAGAAGTGGCTTTTAGGGAGTAGAAAGAACAGATAAAATGTCCCCAAATGCTTTACCTCATTGGTTTTGGCCAAGTCCTTTATGATGTTTGCTTGGTTTTCATCCTGGGGCCTCACACGGAACACCTTCTCCCTTCAAGAAGGCAAAACTTGAGCTGTAAAGACAGTTTCCTGTACCCTCTTCCCACCCAGAGACTGGAACAGTGGGCAGTGAGACCTACCTGTCGAATCGGACAGGAGCAAGTCCAAGGGCAGTGACGATCAAGCTCAAGGTCCAAATGAACCTCATAGTTCTTCTTTGCTTGAAAGGAGACCCTCTGCCAGTTTTATGCTTCAACATTTATCTGTAGGATCAGCCGACTTCCTCTTAGGCTTTCGTGGCATGAGCTGTCGTCTTTCCCCATGCTTTTTCATTTGGGGAGTGAAGGGACAACACTAACACCAAAGGCCCGGGTCACTTCAGCTTTTACACTAGAGAACACCCATTTTACAGAAAAAGGACAGAGACAAATTAATTTAGCAAAAACATTGCTCAAGGTAAAGTAGGTTATGTATTTTTGAGCTGGGATTTGAACCCAGGTCTCTTATTCAAAAATGCTATTGTTTCATCATGCTTCTGTTGAATGAAAAAGGATATTGGTTTTAAATTTGCACTTGCAACTTTCAATGAATTTGGGTATCTGGCTCCAGAACATTGCGGGTCATCCTCAGTAACACAGAACATACTGGAAGCTTGATTCTAATTTGGTTAGTTAAAACCACTTAAATTACAAGGTATTTTGAATATCCTAAAACTGTAAGTACTATGAAAAATGTTGATGTGTTCACTATCTAGATTTTAAGATAGGAAAGCTTTTGCTATGTTTGCTCTTCGTTTATTTTATTTTTAAACATTCATTGTGGGGAATTGGTACGTACATATATTGCAATTTAATCCTTTTTAACTTCCCTTTCTTCTCCTCTTCTTCGATCCTCTTCCCATCTCCTCTACAAAGAGAGTGTTCTGTTGCCTGTTGTTGGTCTTTTATTTTGCACTGTGTCTCAACTCTTCTCCCCTTCTCTTCTTCCTATCATCAGAGCTATACCCTATTTCTCAAACAACTTGAGGAAAAGAAATCATTGATGCTATAATGTTTGCTTATTGAACATTGTCTTCAAAATCTGGGTCCTGTGCATGCCAGAAGATGACTTTTGAAAATGGAGTTAATGAAAGACATTGGTTTATTAGGTAAAAAGTATACGATGACATCTTCAGTCTTGAACACAACTCAGTTATGGATTGTTTGGGAGAATAATACCATGACCTAGAATCACAGAAAATAGAGTGAAATGAATTCTTAAAATCAGAGCACTTAGAATTTCCTTTGTAAAAACTTTCTCATCATGTTGGCAAATATATGGATGGTGATGTATGAAACTTCTTGGAGTTATGGTTATACATTTTCATTATCAAACTAATATAGCTGGTGAATGTCCCTGTCACATGTACAGCAACAGGAACTCCACTCCTCCTCATCTGATTGGTTTGTTATACAATTTATAATCCCCTGAGATCATCTGTTTGCCTCAACCCTGAGAAAATATTCTTTCAGGCTTTCACAGAGAGCAAATTGGTCAGGCAATGGCTGTGACTCATCCACATGGCTGGCACTGACAAAGGATCTATGAACTGCAGTACAGGATTTCAGGGTAAATCCTGAGGGGATTTGACTGACCTTGTCGGATACAGAAGTTACATTTCTTGTTATATAGCTCTTGTTTTATCTTGGTCTTAACCATCCAGCAGAAAAGTATAAAAACGAGGTACAAAAAGTAAAGCCATATTAATAGGCTGAGCTGGAAAAGGCTCAAGTCAACAACTTCTGACATTGCCAGTCCTACAGATAACCCACTACTATTATGGGCTACTGGACTATATTGAATTATTTTGCTGAATTCATGTACCTATAATATTTAAATGGCAATGGAATACCCATCTCTGACAAAACTAAACAAAAAAAGGGGATATAAATGAAGGACCATTTTGTATCTGTAAATATGAAATAAGATAGATAAACAGCTACTTTCTGTTAATTCAATGAGAAGAAAGATTTGTACTAATAGTGTTTGGACAGGATATCATGTCTCATTTTGTACTATGAGTAACTACTATGAAGATATACAATGTATTATTATTGTAACTGTCCTACTAACCTGTTTTGAAACTGTCTGATTGCTATTTGTTTCTCCATAAAATTAATAAAAAAATAAAAAATTTAAAAAACGTTTCATCCAGGCAACAATATCATCTCTTTACTCTTTATGTTTTTTGACTCAAGTTTTTAAATAAAAGAGAGAGAGAGAAAACCCTGAAGGTAAGGAAGAGGAGTGATTCATAAGCACCTTCATGTTCTTGGCATGGATCAGGCTTATCAGCTGTAGAAACTCCCCAAACAAATATTTACTCCATTGTTTTTGACTAAAGATTCTTTGACCAGGGCACAGCGAAAAAGGAGCTTGAAAAGGATTTAGGAAGATATAATCTCATCAGGTTCTCAAGCACTAACTATATCATTTTGAGCAGGCTGCCTTGTTGTTCTGAGCCTTGGATTCCTTATCTTCACAGTGGGGATGCTGACGTGATGCTCCTAGTGGCTATGAGGGCTGACTGGCTTAGCACCCAGGGGTGGATGGAGAGAGTTAACTGCATGAGCATGCCCTCTAGACAGCTGTCAGGTTATATAAGCAGAGACCTAGAGTTGGCCATGGCCACTACCAGTAGAACTGAGGAGAACCAGCACGTGTCAGGTGGTAGATTAAAGTGGTGCCTGTGAGCTTAAAGGATGAAGCCTCTCTTCATTTTGTGAATATTTGTCCAGTTTAATGGTACAGTTTAGACATATATCTATATATCTATATCATATTCATCATAGGGCATTAGTACCTGTACATGGTATATCTTAGTTCTTTTTTTCCTCCACTCCCTTCAACCCTTCTTACCCTCTTTATTGTTTCCATTTTGTCTCTTTTTTCTTATCTCTTCTTTTCTCCCCACCCTCATTCCCATTTCCTTGTGAATAATTTCTTCCTATTTCACAATACCAATTACATATTTTGTTTCTGATTTATACTTTCAGGTTCTCACACCAGATAAACACTCCAGTCTTTACCACATGTGTGGTCTCAAGGCGCACCCATTTATCTGTAAGTGTCTCAAGTTTGCCCTTCTTTATGGATGAGTAATATTCCACTGTATATAAAAGCTATATATTATATATTTTTTACCCATTCATTGGTCGATGGGCATTTTGAATTTTTCCAAGATTTAGATGTTACAAACTGTGCTGCTATGCACATGATTGTGTGTATATCACCATGGTATGATGCTTTTAATTCTTTCAGGAAGATACTATCTGGGTCAAATGGAACCGTGAGTCTTAGTTTTTGATGAATCGCCACACTGATTTCCACAGTGGTTGTCCTAGTCGCCACTCCCACCAATAGTGGAGAAGGGTCCCTTTACCCCACAGCTCTACCAGCATTTTTTATGGCTTAATTTCTTGATGATAGCCATTCTTTCTGGAGGGAGATGGAATTTCAGCAGTGTTTTAATTAGCGTCTCTCAAATGATAAGGGATGTTGAACATTTGCTTTTTGTATTTCTTCTGAGAAATGTCTGTTCCTTTCAGATGTCCAATTATGGACAAATGAGATTGGGTCCTTAAATTTGAGGAGTGTGAACTCTTCAGTTCTTTATATTTTCCAAATATTAGTTCTTTGTCTGAATAACAACTAGCTAATATTTTCCCCCTACTCTGGGTTGTCTTTTCATTCTGTTGATGATTTTTTTTTGGTGGAACCAGGGATTGAACTTAGGTCCTTGTGCTTGCCAGGCAAGTAAGTGTTTATTCTCCTGAGCTATCTCCCTGGCCCCCATTGATGATTCTTATGCTATACAAAAGCTTTTAAATGAGATCCTAGTTGTCAATTCTTAGTGGTATTTCCTGTGTTGTTCATGAAATTTTTGTTTCCACCTTTGTTTTCAGGAGCTCTACCTGTTCGTTCTTTCAGCAGATTTAGAGTTTTTGTTTTTCTCTATTTATTTTAATGAAGAGTAGCAACACATTTTTTGTTACATCTTTGTTTTTTGGAGGTCTAATTTAAAATTCAAAAATTAAAAATTTCATTGAATATAATTTTTCAAAATAAGCAATGTTGGAAGAACAAAAATTGAAATCCTTTAGTTTTAATGTTGTGATATCTGGAAGCATTCCCTATGTGATTGATTTTAAAGATGTATAGAAGAGACATCAGTGTTTGATTTTTTTAAAATCAAATAAGAAAGATACCCCTATTTAAGTAAGTATTTTGATGGTCCTGCTATCTTTTTGGATAAGATTATGATAATAATAAAAGTACATCTTTGAATCTGTTCAATATTGATAGATCTATTTCTGAATGGGATATAGTTATATAATGCATTCTTCCAACCTATTCATCCTCTAGGGAAAAGTACAATTGGTAGATTTCAAGAATGTTCTGGAGCATTTTCTCAGAATGTAGGCTACTTCTTCACAAGCATAGTTTGCTATAGTTTTTTATTATTGCATCAAAATTTATAAAAGGTCTTGACATATGTAAGGAGCAGGACAAATAGCTGTTTTCACCACAGTATTTTAGGATGGACTATGTAAGAGGGTGATGTGTTATAGGTTAAACTAATCTCTTTAAAAAACAACTTAAAGTGGATGACTTCACACAGCAGTAATTTTCCACCTTTCTGGAGCTCTGCACTTTTAGGATTTTTGAGATAGTGGTTATTTATGCTTCTGTGTATTTTCAAGCATGTAGAAGTATCCTAGAAAATGGAAGTGAAGGGCTTTCTTGTGATTTAACAGGACCTTTTATGCTATTGTCCATCTTCAAATCTTAACCCACTAAATTGCTGGAATACCTCTAGCTACCTCAGCATATGGACATTGAAAGACAACTTTGGTGTTTTTAGTTGTAGATGTTGGAGTCTTAACACTGAAGCAAAACTATCCTGTCAGTGTTACAGAGAGATTAGTCTCCATTAAACAAAGGTGGAATTTCCAGAGCAATGTGTGAATGTACATTTGAGATGGGTAGGAGAGGAGTGACCGCTGCTCTGATGACAGGGCTGAGGAGGCTCCTTAGAACTCCACTTGGCCTGCCTGTTGACTTGTTAACTTGCCATGACTCTTTCTACCTTCTAGACGTTATATCTTTGACTGGTTCAGAGAAGTTGGCTTTCAGATCAGTGAGCTTGCAACAAGCAGATAAGCAGGAGAATAATTTTTAGACACAGAAATTCTATAAATAAAATTAGGAAATCACTCTTGCTATTTTCTAGAAAGATTCAAGAGGCCATTTCCATGCGGTTGGATGCCAACGACTGTGGAGAGGGATCGAAGCAGAGGCTGCTTTTAGTTTTTAGTGGGAGTAGGCAGAAAAGGAAGAAGGGGAATCTCATAGTTTAGGGTTCCTAAGTGGGCGAGACTCCGTGCCTAGTCAGCAGAGGCAGAGTGTCAGAGTCTAATGCATTGGGAAAGTCTAAGGCAGACTTCTTCTCTTTCTTTTCTTTCTTTCTTTCTTTCTTTCTTTCTTTCTTTCTTTCTTTCTTTCTTTCTTTCTTTCTCTCTCTCTCTCTCTCTCTTTCTTTTTTTTTTCTTTCTTTCTCTTTCTTTTCTTTCTTTATTGAGACAGTTCAAGCTGTCCTTGAGCTTGCGTTATAGCCCAGGCTGGTGTCAAACTTGTGGCAGCCCTCCTGCCTCAGCCTCTCAAGTGCTGGTGGGCTTACATGCATGCTCTCCCATGTTGGACTCCTTCTTTTCTTGATGTAGCTTGAGCATGTGGAACTTCTAGCCAGCTAGCTGCTGCTAATCTTTGGTAGGCAGAAGTTAGAGCAAAAATATCTCATGTATAGTTAGTTACAATTCATAGCATGAATATAACTGAAATACAGAAAGGAAAAGACGATTTGGCTAACTTAGGCTATTTTTATTATTCTCAATACTGCTGAAATTTATGAAAAAATTTTGCACTTGAATGATGTATTATTAAATTAGTTGAAGATGATTGGCAAATGTTAGGAGCCACACTACTACCACCTAATGGACAATAATGCAATTAATCATGTTTTGGCTCGACAGCTTCCATACTTGTGACTGAAAATGTTTCTTTTTTGATAGAGCATAGTTCAGAATATTTTAACATATTATATTTGGCATGGAATCCTATTTACTTGAATTCACATAGGAAATTATGTATTAAAATTTTATTTTCTGATTTTAAGGAGATGCTCCTAGACTTTAAACTATACATATTCCCATTTTAAAACTTAAACTTGGCACAATGCTTTCCAACCGTAGCACAGTCAGTTGTAATTCTGGAAAATATCAAGTGAATAAAGGTGAGTGACATAAAGGTGAAGGAGTGATATTTCCTGTTTTACTGGTGCAGTCTGTCCAGCTAGGGTCCCTGGTAGTCTCTTGTCTTATTCTAATCTGTTTTCCACACCTTCATGTGTAGAAGAGTCTGGGGGCCACTTACAACCTGACATCCTCAGCGGCCTTCTGTTATTAGACCACTGTGCCAAGTCCCGATCATGGCCTGAGCTCTGCTCAGCATGGTCCCCAGCGTCCCGCCAGGCCCATACAAACCCCTCCTGTCACACCCCTCCCAGTGTTTGGAGGGTCCCAGAAGGGCTCCCGCTTTCTCTAGCAGCATCCTGAGAAAACCTCCCTCCCACACCCGGAAGGAGCAGTCCATCTAGCATTTACTTGTTTCATGTAAATTATATAACCTGTGTTTAGTATATGTTCTGCCAAAGTGAGCACACTAACCTGTTTTTAAATAATTAATTTGCTAGTTATTAAGTTAACATCTGTCTTTTCCAATGGTCTCCATACTCAATAAGGGTGGAAGTGTTATCTTTATTTTTCACTGTTCTGTCAATTGCATGGCTAAATTCTTGGCAGGTAAGAGGTAGCTCATGATGTAGCAGGAGTTGAGTTTTAACAAAAGCTAAAATGGGACGGCATCTTCTCATCTTCACCATTACGATCTTCCATTTCCCTTTTTATTTCTTCTTGCTTAAAAGCCTCCTGTTGTGTCCTGTGCACTCGGCAGGTGCTGAGCAAGTCCCCAAGGACTTTAACTCCCCTACGACGGACGACACCATCATCTGTGCATGGCTTGCCTGCTCATTTGTTCACATTTCTTTCCCCAAAGTAGACAACCTGCCATGGTTTGCAATGATTACGATTCACTTTTATTATAATTAATTTTTTAAAATCCAAGCATATATGAAGGACTAGGGTCTGAAAAACCTCCAACCAAAGAATAATAAGGATTCAAGACAGACAAGAAATGAGCTGCAAACATTGTGAAAGAAAGCTTTCCGCATGAGGGACTAGTACAGGTGCTGCACGACATAGCTGGCAATGTGTTTGACTGCGAGCAGCGTCTCCTCGCAGGTTGCACGGATTTGGGACTCCGGAAGCAGAAAGCCATATCTGCCTGTATCCCGGAGTTCAAAGGTGAAGGAATATTTGATTCCTTGGTCATAAGCCCAGTCGTCAGAGCCTCCAGCAGCAAGATCTGGAATGAGCAAATAGGAGGAAAAAAAAACTTTAAGGAAGGAAGTTAAAAAAATTGTCACCTTTCTTTTGTATTTATAAACATTTCATTGTGCAAAATCAGAACAGGTCAACTTTTTAGTAAACCATATCATAAATGATTTGGGGACTATAACTTAGTCTTACCTACAGATTTGCTTGATGTGATTGATATGTTTAATGCCCCAGAAATAATGTAATCTGCACTATAAACTTTTCAGTGTGCTTATATACTATGACAAATTAAGATATATACATAGTATACATCAAAGTAGCAGATCAAACTATTTACTATACAGTTCAATGTACTGTAAACACACACTGAAAATGTATAGATGAATGTATATCTGATCTTGTGAAAATAATGAAAACTGTATGATGAGAGGTAAGAGGATAGACTCCAAAGCCTGTGGGAAGTGTGCTGGGTCTGAATAATGAAACTGGGGCAAGTAGAGGGCAGAGCTGAGCCTTCATTCTTTCTTATCTTCAATGTGGAATGTAGGGCCTGGCAGGAAGTCAGCAATCATTTAGATATTAATTCATTCACTAGAAGTTCTCCTGTCACTGACACATAACCTATGTATTCATTTATCCATTGCTTATCCATTTATCTATTTATTCATCCAACAGCTGTGTGGGCCCCCACAACACTACAGGCTGTGTGTTCAGCTCTGTCCCTTAAGGGCTTCTAGCGTAATGGAAAAAGAACACTTAATTGAATTAGGCTGAATAAACATGCACGAAGTTCACAATATATAAGTGACTTATTTCTGCTGGAACCAGCTTAAGAAGAAAGTATACCACCTCTTAGAGCAACTTTAAAAAAAAATACAGAAAGCGATTTTATATGAAGCTAAAAAAATCCAACAGCTCAGGATTAGAGCTTTCCCAAAGTACTGAAGGCCTCTTGGTGACAGGAGTGGATCTTTTTTCTTGTGTATATTTCTGTTTCTTTCAGACCTCAGGGAAAAAGAAATCATTTGAAGACCAAGAAAAATAGAAATTGAAAATAGGACCTGTGGTATGTGCCTTTTCAGAACAACCCAAACTCTGCAGCCTTCATGGCCCTGGAGTTGAACCCCTAACCCTCTTACCACAGGTTTCTCCCACTTTCATGCGCACGCTGAGGGGCTGGTTAGAGGGCTGATGGTCACCCCTAGAAGGCAGCTTGTGCCTTCAAGTGGTCTCACACCAAAGTCCATTTAGCTGAGAAAACACTCCCTCATATACTTTGTTTCAGCAATAGTACTCCGATAAGCTGCCGTGTCATCACTTGGGGTTGAGTCTTGACACTGCAGGGTGGTTTGGTTGGGTGTGCTTGTTCCTTGTGCACCTTCAGATCACAGGGTTTAACACCCGATCCCTTTTCTTGCGTCCATACTGTGGATTCTTTGAACAGTGCTCTGGTTTCCCTGCCCCTTTTTCAGTATCACTTCCCTTCTCCCCATCCTCCTTTCCTTTTCCTCGTAGGACCTACTAAGGGCCTGGTACATAGATGTGCAGTAGATGTACACAGACAGCAAATGTTTCTGCTGTTGAAAAGAAAATTTTTCTCTCTCCTTTTTGAGTGGAAAAGTGACCATATATTTCATAAAAAGTCACTGTGAGGCAAAAGCCATATGCTCTAACCAATTGGAAGAGAAAGGTGCTAGGAGCCATTAGGTAGCTTTTTGGGCACAGGCTCCTTTGCCCCTTGCCGAGGCCAAGACTCACAGATTGTAGTGGCTCCTGGGCCATAAGTGTACTTGGTGCCATGCAGGGAGGCAAGTTCATTCACAGCAGCTTTAGCCAGGGCATTCTGCAAAAGAATCAACAGCACAAAGGTCAGTAAATCTATAGAAGCACATGTTGCCAAACAACATCCTACAACTTAATTTCAAGACAATGAAGGTATTTATTTCCCACTTGAGCTAGCATTTTTTACTAATGCACTGCCTAATTCTAATTTTTCTAGCTACCTTAGTCATATGATACAAATAAGTCCTGCTAAAGAATGTGTTCTGTAAGGCCCTCTACAGATACTCAGACTGAAATTTCTCTTTTGTCTCCAGACCTTGTAAAAGAAAAATGGAAGTCAAGGGAATCTACCTGGTTATGCCCAGAGTTTGGCTTACAGACACACATGCACAAACCTGAACAACACAAATGCTGGTTGGCAATGTGGTAGGTATAGGGCCAGGACAGAGTCATGACAGGATTGAGGGAATTAGGACAAGAACATGAGAAACTACAGGTATGAAGCCTGGGGAGTCAGTCCAGTGTTCAGTGCCAACCTGGAAATGCTTAGGAACTGGCAGTTCCAACTAAGAGTGGTATCTCCAGCTTGGAAGAGTTTTAAACTGAAAGGTTAGAGAACATTTATTCTGTTTCAAAATGCTGAACATTTGAATTCCAGGATACTAGTATGTATTAACTTGTGCATATTCTTTTTTCTTAAAAGCAGCATCATTTTCTCATAAGAACATTGCCCCCACACACTGCGCTTGACTCCTTGAGGAGACGGGCTCTCTGCACTCCAAAATAACTTCCTTGACATTCTTTTCTACCCATTAAGTAAGCACTTACAAAGCAAGACCTGACTCTGCTTTCCAGAGCACACATGAGGTTTGAAAACTGCTTGTTTACTACAGCAGAAGTAGCTATAATTTGTTCTAGTTATGAAACTTGCTATAGTTCATATTTTGGCATCATAATTATTTCTTGTACACATGTTTGGAAGACTGTGATACTGGTGATGAAATCAGAATAATCTGAGTTTCACAAAGTAGAAACTTCTTTTACCCCTTATTCTAATGATAAAATCATGTTAGTAGAGTCTTATGTCAAACTGGTGAAGTATGACTTTAAGATTTCGATGATTCCAGTTCCTGAGGCATTCATGCCCCATCAATAAGGTGGAATATTTGAAAATTTAAAAAGGGTCAGTATACAGTTTAAGTCATGATTTTCGGTTTTAGCCAAGTGAAATGAGGCAGCTAGTTGTGTGGAACTAACTTCTTACACTCAGAGTTTTATATCAATAATTTGAAAAATTGAAGGTTCTGTCCCTTAATTTCTGAGCTGGTAATTGAAGACATGTTTTACCATTGTGTTCTACACATATCACTCCTGTTTTATCCTACTGTCAGTCTTGGGTCTTTTCCTGAGTGTTGGATATAAGACCTATTATTGATCAAAATGTGAACAATCTGCAAAGCTTGCATAATGTTCAGAATAGATATAAAAATCACCTTTTAGAGATGTGAAGCCAGGTGAGGTAACAGTTCTTTTGGTAGATGAACAGTATTTTTTTTTTTTTTTTTTTTTTTTTTTTTTTTTACTATTCTACAATTTCCTGAATTTGTTAAAGAAAATTTCTGGTTGTTTATTGCTCTCTACGACAAGATCTCTGGTCCCGAAGAACTCCTATCCCTTCCCTAGATCCCTTCCCTAGCTTCTACTTCTCTTTGTTTAAACTTAGAATTATTATTCTTAGCTAGTAGAAATACAGCTCTTCAGGATTAGTTCCAAATGTGAACCATTCTAAATGCAAAAAGTCTGAAGGTGAAGAGTTATAAAGAAGAGTTATTGAAAGATTTACCAGTCAGTGTCATTACCTCTTAAATTTGTGCCTCAATTGTCCAAGACTTTGAACATATTTCTTGCTGTTATGTAATAATTAAATATTTAGTCCCAACTGAAGGGGCCTACTCGTGATATATTATCTCCTTTGGCTTATCAATTTATCATTGTAGTCATGACTACCATTAGAGCTACTACACACAAAAAAACTCTGTTGGTTTTTCCTCAAACCATGTGCTGGGTGTGTGAAGTGCCCCCAAGTGCTTTCTAAGCCCTCAGACACCTCTATCTTCTGCAAACGGTTGCTCTGTCTTGGATGCTGAAGTAATATCAAAGATTGATGTTAGCTCCAAAAGGCTGTAATTTTATTCCTGTCACTGACACACTGAAGGAACATTTAGCTTGTTGCTCACTGTCTTCTTCTCTCCCCTCAACTGTCTCTCTTCTTGCTGTCTACCCATTGCTCACCTTCTGAGGGTCACCTCACCACCTCATTTTTTAATGGTTCTATCACCTCCTGTGAATGTGCCATTCTCCTCTCCAGGAAAAGCAGCTTTCTCTCTCAAACCATGACCTTTGGGCATTCTTATATGCCCTCCAAGCTAGATATTCTTCAAGTCCTTCCCTGCACACCCACCCCTCTTCCCCTTACCTCATTACTCAGGGAGCCCCTCTTCTTTCCCTAGAATCATCTTTCCCTTTCTGCTTACACAGAAGACTTCTATTGTTTTTCAAATTCATTTATAGAACTATCCTCTTTGCGAATATGTCCCTCACTCTCTTTAAAGGCACACAACCTCCCTGCTTCCTGAGTGGTCAGGCTCTGTGTTGTAAGCAGTTGTTTGTGAATCTCCTTTCCCTAAGGGAGTTCCTTGTGGGAAGGGATTCTTGGCTACTCATTTTGTATCTGCAGCAGATTTCTCAGCATGTAGCAGTGGTTGGTTGACTGAGCTCTATTCGGGGGCTTAGGGGCATCATAAACAGGCCAGATTTGGATGCGGGAGTAGAGTGCTGAGCATTGCAAAGGCTGAGGTGTGACCCACCAGAGTGCAGACTAGAGATGCTGCTGGGGAGTGCAGTGATGGGGGTGCATGGATCGCTACATCTAGACATTTCATATTCTGCACACATTACTTACTTCTATTAATAAAAAAAACAGGTCTGTGGACCCTCTCTCTGAGCCTCTTCAGAACTGAGAGACCAAAAAGAACAGACATTAATCAACTAAAATATCATATTTAAAATTCCAATTATCTTAAAAATCCCTGGAATCAGTGTGGGTCTATTCTTTTGAAGAGTTTAAATAATTTCACAAATGTTACTCATTTATCTTCCCAACATTATCTGTCCACATTTCATCACCCTCGAATTTTCTAGCAGAATGGAATGCCACGTGGGGCGGCCTGCTCAGCAGGAATGTTACAATGAGCCGGATGACTGACCCCTGCCAGGAAAGAGAGCGAGAAAGGCGAGAAAGGCGATGCTTTCATTGCTAAAGTGTTACAGGAGTAACTTTTCCCTGCACACTTCTGTGAAAGGGGACTAAAGTGTCAGAAGACTGGAGAAGCAACAACATGGCAGAGAGTGGAGCACACCTTGAGATTCCAGTTGGTGGCACTTTCTCTGGAACTACCACGGGAAGAACAAGTCTTACATGCTTGTTCAGGGTGTTCAAAATAAGAACTAACATTTACATAAAACCTTATGCTTTAAAAAGAGCTCTTGATAAGCACTAGATATTTTTATCCCCATTTTACAGATAAAAGAATCAAAACCCAGAGAGGATAAAAGATCTCGCCCAAGGGCATGAAGCCCTGTAAGTGGCTGACTTGAGCTAGGTTCCTCTTCTTTTAAATTTTGTGCTCTTTTTCACTTCTCCTTGTGGCCTTCAAATACTTCAAAAGAAGTGTTGCTGGAGCCGGCTTTACCCAATTGTAAAGAACAGAAGGAAGCTAAATATAAATCAGCCGCAGAGCAAACTTTGCTTTCAGTCAAGGCCAAACATGGCCAGCCTTTATTAATCCTTAGATATGAATTTCCTACCACATCTTATGCATGTTCTCTTTTGTTATCTGTTTCCTTAAAAAGAGGCCTTGGTCCTAGAGCAAAAGACAGAGAGAATCTAAAATGTCACATCTAGCTCAAAGCCCAAGAGACAAAGGACAAAGCCATGTAATGTTTCCCAGGCCCGGGCTCCCGGGGCCTGGGGAGATGAATAAGCAGAAGGTGCTCTTTACTGGTGACCTTCGTTCCCAGGTACCATGAGATAATGTAGCCCGTCTCATGACGGTGCACATAGTCCTCGTTCCACTCTCTGCGCGCATGGCCTGCCCCATGACGGGGGGGCTGCCCTTTCTAATCTTCCAGCCATCCATTATTACCATATAGGGAAAAAAAAGCCTCAAACCCACTATGAGGCATTGCACCATTCAAAGGAAATTTTCTTCAGAAGTTTGTTTCTAACTTGAAGCCCTGAGTTTAACCATCCCCGTGGGTGAACGCATGTGATAATGGAAGCCTCACAATGATCTTTAACTGCAGTTTCCTTCCTTCTGTCCCATGATAATGTGTAACTTATACCAAGGGACCAATGAGAAATTTAACTTTTATAATTCTGGTGCAAAAGGGAGCAGCTCTTAAAGTGTACATGCAGGCACCGAGAGGAGAGCTCTTGGGACTGGAAATAACAAATATGTTTCTGAGAGGAGAAGGAACAGGGACCAGGAAATGCTTGGTTTTGGAGCTTTCTGTAGAGTCTAGGAGGGGAAAAGGAAGGCTTTAGCTGGTATAAACCAATTTTTTTCCCTTGGCTGATCTGTAGATGTATCTTTCAGCTCTTTAAAATTCAAGGGAAATGTGAAACATGAGTCAGCTGAATTTGTAGTCCAGCAATTTAGTTTTTGATGGAAGTTGTAATCCTCACAAAAAAAACTTTAAGAAATAAAAATTATGTAATAGGGATGTGCTGCGTTCTGGCACTTGAGGTTTTTAGAACAATGCATACTATTTTTGAGGAGGCTGTGGGATCTCGTAAAAGCCAAGAGTCCTTGGCAAGAAATATGATGGCTCTTATCTTCGTTTCAAGCAGGGTTTCTCAACCTCAGCACTCTTGCCTCTTGGGGTTGGATGAGTCCTGCTCCTATGAGGGTCGTCCTGTGCACTGTTGGGTGTTTGTCAAATTCCCTGGCCTCTACCCACTCAGAGCTAGCAGGACTCCCACATTTATGTCAATCATAAATGTTTCTCAAATATTGCTAAATGTCCCCTGGGGTGAGGTTGGAGGGCAAAAGAAAGTAAAAATAAAATGTAGTATGGAAAATGTGAGTTAATTTGAAAATGTTAAGGATGAAGGCAAATGGGTTTTAAAGGTGCTCAGAAGGCCTATTCCTTTGTTGGTGACCATACAGGCATCTCTTAGGCATCTCTGTTAGCCAATCTTGTCCAAATGACATTTTACTGGGGGTTATTAGGTTCAGCAAAACTAAAAACAAGTTACCTATGTAGATTTATATTTAGATAAACAGCTGATTTTTTCAGCATAAGTTTGCTTCAATATTTTATATGAAATATTTTGGACATACTTATAGGAAAAATTACTTGTTTTTCTGAAATAAAAATTATACTGGGTGTCCTGTATTGAATCAGACCATCCATTCACCTGTTTCTGGCTCTAGGTCTTACTGTGCCACAATTTGTTCTGGTATCAAGTGCCTCTATTGCCTGGTTGTCTTACTGACCAAATCTTACCCCGAGTCTTCCCCATGAGGGTGATGTAAAGCAGGCCCGCCTCTTTCTTCTGCTTTCTTCCAGCCCATGTTTGAATCCTGTTCTTGCATACCTGTTGGCACTCTTCTCAGCCGGACGTGCCCTGTTCCTTCCTCTGCCACCCAAACCCTGAGCAGACTTCAAGGCTTAGAACAAATGACATCTGTATGTAGCCATCCTGGAGAGCTTCTGCACACACAGCCATTTCCCTATCCGGAATTCCTACAACTGTGCATAATTAAAACCCCCAATTCTCTCTTTTTCTTGCATAGTTTCTAGTATCTGGATTTTATAATTTCAATTAGATTCTAAGTTTTCAGTGGTAGGAGTCATAGTTTATGATGAGCACTTAATAGATACTCAATGACCTTTCTGATGATTGCCTGAGAAGCACTGCACAGAGCTGGCTCAGCAGGAAAACGCTCTCAGAGCAAGGAGTCATCTAGAGTATATAGCGGTACGTCAGCAACTGGTTTCTTTAATCAAAGACACTCTGCTGATTCATTTAAAACTTTTTGTCTTTTATGTGAAATTATAAATAATAAGAAAACTCTTGAAGCAGATATTTTGTTCCCTTTAGTGACTGATAGCTTGCCTGACAGGGTGATGGTTTTGTTTCGCTAGCTATTATGTAGGGACTTGGTGACAGCCGTGGTGGGTATGAACATGTCCTGCAAGAGTCCTCCTCCTAATTGTGATATGTCTTCCCTCTGATTTTTATACTTATCTCTATTTGTGGTTTTGGCTTATGTTCACATGCTTGGGTGGAACGATGGGTTTCCGTCTTGGTGTCTCATTAATTAACACTTCAAGTGACTGCCATTGGACTGGAAGGTGTTATATACTTGAGAGGTGGACTTATATCTTTTTACTATATTTCATAATTTTTCAGAAAGATTATTCAGTATATATTATAGTTATTATTATTTTTCTTTTAGTTAATTAATACGCATTTATCAAAAGAATGGGCCAGAGTCACATCATATTTCTCTATCCATGAATTAATATGGAGGCAATCATATGCTAGATCAAGGCAAATTTTTCCCCTTGTGGGATCTTCATAACAAATAAAAAGTGAAAATTCTCTCTCTCTCTCTCTTTCATATATATATATATATATATATATATTCAAGTTCTTCGTTGGTTACTACACTTACATTTGAAATTATACTACAGTTTGAATTTGTTCTGGAAAAATGTGCTTTTATGTAAGTATTAAAATGATACAAAAATTATACAAAAAAGGACCTTTAGTTGCTCAGAGATTAAAGTTGCTTTGAGGTATCAAAATAAATTCAAATAATGAATGAATTACATCAAATACTATTCACTCTGGGCTCTACTAATGGCAGATAAGTGTTTATGTAGGCTAAAGTTTAATCAGAAAAAATTGGTAATTGAAGTAACTTTAAAATCAGTAAGTGCGATATAATTATAATTAAATTTTACATTTTAGTCACTTGTTTTATGCTCTGGAAAATGTAAGAAATGGCATCATTTTCTTTTGAATGTATTAGTTCTGTGAGGATTAAAAGAAGCATTCAAGATAAAATTATTTTGAGGCTTGCATGTTTTTCTTCGAAGAATAGATTATGAATATGTTGAATAGTTTATTCCACTTCTTTTTATTTATGTATTTTTAAAAATTAAAAAAATATATTTGCTTGATACAGGGGCTCACTAGGCAGTTCAGGTGTGTAATGATCTTTCTGTTTCAGCCTCCCTAGCGCTCGGATTAGAGGCGTGCACCACCCCAGTAACTGAGGCCTGCACTGTGTGCCCAGGGTTCCAGGGCCAGCACAGCATGCAATACTGGGGATCGAACCCAGGTCCTTGTGCTTGCCAGGCAGGTACTTAGACTGGCGATATATCTTTCCAACCCTCCACTTCTTTTTAAATTGGACTTTTAAAATAATTTTGGAGGATGGAATCTTGAATAATATAGCTTTCTGTGTTGCCCACCCTTGAAAAGCAGAAGTGATTCTTGCGAGAATGCTTAAGGTTCACAAGCTCCTGGAACATTTTCCCACCATACAGGGCACCACTGCGTGGGTACAGGGAACTCATTAATCCTCAGTCTTGGATATTTTCCTGGATAAAATTCCCATAGGAAGTAACAAAAATTATTCACATGATTCCAAAGGCAAAACTTACTTGATTCCTCTATAACTATAGTTTGGAGATGTTAGAGAAGCCCAGTTTTTAGGTTATTGTATGTAGCAATGGACATAAGATTATTTCATTTCTAAATGGGCTTAAGCATATTCTCCAAATAAGAAAAGATTCTGAACCTTTGTAGAAGAAGATCTATTATAAATAAGACTTTAAAATTTTTGGCTAGTATTAGTCTTTTAGTATTTTTATAGCTATGAATATATTGAACAAACTAGAAATATTTACTACTGACACACTTAATGTGTTTTATACTTTGAGTTTTGTATTTTAATAACTCATAGGTGTTTAGACATTAGGATTTTGTTTTTTCTTCTTTGATGTAATATAATTTAAATATAGTCACATGAATTAAGCACATGCTCTGACCTTGTCCTTTCTGGTGGCCAGAAATCTAGGACAGAAACCAGGGGCAACACTTGAAGAAGAGGGGCATAACTGGAAAACAATATTTTGTGGTTCTAGCTAATGATGTTTTGTTTTAGTTTTTGACTACCAGTAGGAAAAATGGAAGCTTTTTGAAATTTTTGAAAAAGATGCAGTCAACTATTAGCTATCTGTTTTGTAGGAGATTGGGTTGTTTCTGTACACAACATATTTATAGCATTACATGTTGTATTTGGTCTCTGAGAAACTAAACGTGAAAGTACAAAATAACAATTTTCAGTTTTTAAAGTTACTGGGTCTTCAGATTTAGATAAGCCAAATATCTATGTCATTGTCTAAGTGGAATACTTTGTTTTTTTATGGTGCAATTCAAACGCTTTAAATCTTAGGCTTGCTCCTTTAGAACACTGATCTCAAGTTCTGGCCACCAGATGTTTCAGAAGTTTTAAAAAGTTGTTTCAGGAATTCAGACTTGCATTTTAAAAGCATTGCTGAATAATATTTATCAATATTACTTCTCATAAAAACATAATATTTAATTGCTTATGTGATTGTATCTTAGTTGTTGAACAAGATGGCTAGTTTTTGATTTAAGGGATATTTAAATTTTTTTCATTATTTCTCATATCTGGAAAGACTCATTTTAATGATTTGTTCATTCATTGATTACTTCTATGTTTCACTTAATCAAACAATAGAAATAAGCAATTTTAAAATCTCCTTGCTAAACCTGGTATCAACCAAATGTGGCAGATTCCTAATGACATCTACCATATTCTACGGCTGTCAAATCCAGCTCAAGACAACTTGGCCAGATGGATTCTGACAAAGGTTATATATAGGGTCAATGAAATTGGTTGATTATCCCAAGTATGTCTGAAATCATCTTTTGAATAATATTCTGATGAAGACAGAGGAAGTGGAAAAACTGCCATTCTGAAGACGAGTGAACTAACCACATGTGTGGGACTTCTCTCTGCACTGAATCCTACTTCTTTTAGCCAATTTATCCAGCCAACTCTAGATCTGTTGTAAGTTCATAATTTTTCCCTGCTTCTACTATCCAAGACCAATAAAGAAACTTCCAGAAATTGCTATTATAATTTTTCTTTTCAGGATTAGAATGGAGAAACAATCTCAGTAGTGAAATGCATTGTCTACTGCCTTGTCTACTTACCAACTCAGCATTGTTCTTAGGCAGTTTGTAGGAATAGGAGTAAGGGTAGAGCAACATCTGGGAGTATGAGTGGATTGTCAGATATGCTTTGATGGAAGAGAGATTTTTCCGGATGAAATCAGTTAAGGCTTTGGTCTCTTTTTCAGACTCTGCAGTGGGGCCACAGTAAGTGTCAGAACAGGGTTGTTTAGAAGCTCCATTTTCTGGGTTAAAAAAAATTGTTATTAATGGCCAATAATTATCTACTGAAGTCCTCATAGAGGATGGTTTGCTGTTTCAAAATTTCAAATTAGGAGGTTAAATATATATTGTTATCATAGGAGTCCTTATAATTATCCTTCTCTGTATACATTTTGCCCTAAGATTATGATGGTATGTTTTTAAGATGACATGATAAAAAAATGCATGAAATCACCAATATGTGCCTGTATAGTACTACACAATGGGATCAATGTAGTGTAAGATAATTCATAAGGTCAAGACTAATGTTGTGATCATTATTGACTGCATAACAACTTTATTTCAATAACTTTTTCTTTCAGTTTTTTTTAGCATATGTTTTCAGTGCACAGTGTTTATATTTCTTGTGTAGAGTTGGTACATGTACAGAACACCCATCTTTATTCCACTTTTCATCCCTTTTGCCTTCCCTTCCTCACCCTTCCTTCTATGAAGACTTCTTCCCATTTGCAAAAGATATATCTCCCTGTTTCCTATTATCCTTTATTTTGTCTTTGATTTGTATTTTATGTTTCTCATATAAAAGAAATCAATGAAATATTTAAGTTTGTGCGCCTGATTTATTTCACTTTATATTAGAGTCTCAAGGAGCACCCTTCTTCCCACCAATGACTACAACTCATCCTTCTTTATGATAGAGTATGGCTTTCTGTAGATTCACTAGTCTACACTCTCTAGACTAGGTATTCCAAAGTTAGCAGAACATTGATTTCTACTATATTATTGCATAAACATTGATTGTGATTTGTACAATATGACTATACAATCTAACACGGCTGGGAAAACAAAGGAATGCTCAATATATTCTTGTCAAATGAATTATTAAACTATTATTGTCTGTACTTTTAGAAAGCTAGAACTCTAAAGTATAAATTCTTTATCATTTTTCTTATTTTAGTCACTGTTAGGTTTTCTTTTTTTATTGAGAAATAAATAGCAATGAGACAGTTTCAAAACCGATTAGTAGGACAGTTTCCATAATTAACACATTGCATATTGTTGTCTTCATAGTGGTTATTCATAGTACAAGATGCAGACATGATATCCTGTCCAAACACTATTAGTACAACTCTTTCTTCTCATTGATTTAAGAGAAAGTAGCTGTCTATATATCCTAACTATTTTGTATATACAGATGCAAAATGGTACTTCATTTGTATCCCCCTTTTTTGTTTAGTTTTGTCAGAGATGGGTATTCCATTGCCTTTTAAATATTATAGATGTAAGGATTCAGCAAAATAATCCAATATAGTCCAGTAGTCCATAATAGTAGTGGGTTATCCATAGGACTGGCAATGTCAGTAGTTGTTGACTTGAGCCTTTTCTAGCTCAGCCTATGAATATGGCTTTATGTTTTATACCTCGTTTTTATAGTTTTCATCTTAGTTTTTGAAGTGATGAATGCGAAATAGCCAGATACCTACCACACCAGCCAGCATTAAAATTTCTGTTGGGATCAACGCCACGGCAGGAAACTCCAGTCTGGGTAGAACGGGTCTTTCTCCACATTCGACTCTGAAAGTGGATAATGTGATGAGAACATGTATTATAGAAAGTCATTGGTTTTAATTTCATCAATTCCTCTCAGTATTGGTCCACATACCGAGGTCCAGGTGTAGATGTAGCCGTCGATATTAAACACAGGCAGGATATAAAAGTCTAATTTATCAAGCAGCTCCGTCATTTGGGTCTCTTGTCCATAGGTGCGTACAGCCTGCATGTGAATTACAAAGCAGAATTTCATACCAAAATGCAATATAATGCTAATAGAATTCATACATACTGGAAAAAATACTGACTTTGACAATGAAAGCAGGGTTCCAAATTGATGTGGTCAAAACTAACACTTATAAAACAATTGGCAAATTATCAGATTTTTTTTTTTTTTAGATACTCTTTAAAATTACTGTTTCCTATTCTTCTCTGCTCCTGGTATACTTCTGTTTCCTCCATATGTAACTCACATAATTGTTGCTTTTAACTTTTTACTTGAAAGATTTAATAACATTAAAGTCTTAAAAATTTCCTTTGGGATAGCAATGGCAATAATTTGTCATCAAAGTTAATAGGATATAAGAGAGCAAGACCTACTCCTACTATGAAACCTCCTACAGATTTTCTTAGTAGAGGAAATATAGTAGGGAAATGAGAAATTTCTCTTGTGAAAAAATAATTAATGGATTTTGAGTATGTTCTCATACATTTTTCAAACTGCTTAATGAATGGAAGCCTCTCCTTTATCATTTTTCTAAAGAAAGGAATCCCACTGAGGAACCAGTTTTTCCTGTAAAGCATGTGAACCCTCAATCATGAATGAAGGGCTTGGTGTTCTCTTAATCACAGGCCTTCTGTTCCAGTATCATAAGATTTATATCCAACCCTTCCCCATGCTTGCTTGAATAAACTTGAAAATACACGGTTTCTATGTGCGAATAATTTTTTTGTGTACTTTCTGTGATACTCTACATAAAGTCTACTCTCTTCCCTGTAAGTTTTCCCTTTTAATTAATACATTTTGGAAGAAAGTACATTGTAAGTTCACAAATATCTTGTTTCTTTTTAAATATTTACTCACTTATTTTTGCATTACTCTGTTGGATTTTTCAGAAATAGCATTCTAAAGATGATCTTATATTTTGTTCATTCTTTCTATACTTTTTTTTTCTGCAGGTAGTCATTTCATCTTTTCTATTTATTTATTAAATTATTTATGCCAGTATGCAGTAACAAATATATAAAAGTTTTTTTAAGGTTTATTAGATGATGTTCAAATTGCTTGCTTATTTACAGCCATTAATTTCTAAGTGACCAATTCACTATACTAGCTATTAGTCTGTCTAACAAAGGTGAATTTAAAGATTCAGATGAGTAAAATTCAAATAAATATAAACTTTTTAGCTTAAACACTTTGTTTACAAAGTATGCTGGCAAAGGTTGACCCTAATTTTCAAATATGGTAACTCGGAATTATGTTTTATTCTGCATTGTTTTCTCTTATTATAAGTTATAAGGAATTAAGTCAAATTAAAAATACTTTCTACTTCTCATCGTACATACTGACCTCTTTCACAAACCACTGGCAAAATGCAGGAGAAATCCACTCTCTCGCATGGAAACCACAATCTATGAAGACAGCAGGCTTATTTGATTTAGCTTTGCCAACCTACAGTGAACAAAAGAAAAAGGAAACTGTGATCTATCGCATGGCGTTTGGGCTATCATTCACTACCCTTCTTGGCTCTGGACTCAACAGGTGAAACTTGACAGGAGCAAGTCATATATCCTGTGATTAAATTAAAGCACAAGACTGGCACAGTATGTTCTTGCCTCTAGACACAATGTTTGAGCTGAAAGCTTACCTGACTGTTTATTATTTTTATTAAGCTTGACAAGCTCACATTTCTAGAAGATGCTTGATTACCCTGCTTAATTGTACTCACGTGGAGGTTATTTTCAGCTGCTATTATTAGGTGACATGACCAAGACAACTGGATGGGTAATTAGAACTAATCATGATTCTTGCTTATCTTCTAAGAATTTTTTTCCTTCTATTTCTTTCTTATCTTCTTATTCCCTTCATTAGAATTACATGACAAAAATGGCATCAAAGACTGACAGAAACAAATTGTTGATATGCTTTGTAATGTTGTCTGATAGATGTGAAGTTTATGAACCTCTTTAGCAAATGAATTTGCAAACAACAGCTGGGAGAGAAGAATTTCATCAAGGTAGATGATCATTTACGTTGCTTACAGGAATGTGGTTAAATTTATAGTACTTCTTTTATTGCATTTTCTTTTTGAATAAATCAAAATAATGACTTAAAATTTCACATATGATAAAAGAACCTGGGGAATCTGTTTGACTCCCTAGGGGACATAGGCAGCAAAAGAGTTATAACAGTGTTTGGGGTAAGCCTGCTGTCTGTGAAACAGATGTTAATGCGTTAGAATTCATTGATTTAAAGCCTTCAGACATGGCAAGGTCATGATTAAAAATAATTACCTTGAGGAGGTACATTGAACGTCCTTCAAATGTGGTTCCGATGCTACTGCGAGAAACGAGATCTGGATTCTCAGCAGCAATTTGTTTTGTCCAGGCCTCTATCTACCAAAGGGAATCATATGTGGATTAACGTGACATTCTTGGTTCAATTCCCAAAGCAATGTCTGTGAAAACCATGTGTAAAATGTACCGTTTCCCAGTTGTTGTACTTTGTGTAACTGTGTCCTGTTGCACGGCTGTGGCTGTCAAACTGGGCTTCCATCGCACTTCTCAGGTTGCTTATCATTACCCTGCAATGAACCAAAGCGGGTGCTCCTAAGGATGCCATTATATCCTCCCAGCCCAGTCATCACACATGACACCATACAGTCACTGCTCTCGGTGCCATGCATTCTTTAACGACTCACATATGGTCCTTTGATTATTCCTTCTGCTCCTTAGTCAGAGCTGGACAAGCCTGGTTCTGTTTCTGGTCATAAAGAGTGAGTCACTGAGAAGGATGCTGGAGGGTATGCATTAGGTTGGCTGTTCTTCACTCCCAGCTGCACATCTCTGGGTGTCTAGTACCTGGGTAACTGGGCACTCTGGGTCAGGCTGTTGAGTGTCCAAATATGAATATATACTTCAGGCCTATCTATGTCATCCTCAGGACCTTCCTGGTTGTAGTGCCATGTCCCAGAAAACCACTTTGGCCCAAGAAAACAGAATTAGTTGGCCTCTCCAGGTTTTGGGAAGTGCCTGGAAATTCAGAAATACTGACAAGCTAAAATTAATTGGGCAAATGAATACTAAGTTTAAAGAACTAGTTTCTATTTGCATATCTGGCTGTTTAAGCAGTTTAATAGTTTGGTAACAAGGTACTATGACAATTGGTGATATAATCTTTGAGGCTGGTCTATTCTTATACATACATGGTGATGTTGAGAGTAGCAATTTAGAGAGGTGGACCTGAAGGGTTGTGTGTATGTGTGTGTGTGTGTGTGTGTGTGTGCGTGCGTGTGTGTTCATTTCTCTTTGTTACTTTGAGTGGAAAGTGGGCTTGGAAGGAACACAACTTTATGGACTTTAATGTCCTTGATCTCAGACCTCTGGGTATTGTGGACAGAGACCAGCTTGCAGCCCTCCCTTATCGCTAAGCATGCCTTGCTATGGCTTTATCTTCCAGACAGGGAATTGTAGACACACATCAAAGTCTGCTTTTCTTCTCCTGCCCTAGGGGCATTCTGATGAAGTCTATCAGGAACTTCCTCTGAACCTCCCTCCTAGTTCCTCCTTCAGTTGGTGAACTTTGGTATCAACTTGTGTCTGTTTATGGAAGATGCAATAAATTATTATAAATGGAATTACTTATAAAAATACTAAATGGTACCTGCTTTATTGCAAATGGAAAATACTGCTTTAAGAACTTAGCTGTCCTAAGCAGTATTGAATTAAAAAGTGAAAAGGAAGGGCTGGGGAGATGGCTCAGTGGAATAAGTGCTTCTCTGGCAAGCACAAGGGCCTGAGTTCAATCCCTGGTTCCGAAAAAAAAAAAAAAAAAAAGTGAAAAGGATCAGACTTTAAAATTTATTCCATGGAAAGTAAATTTTCCTTTGGATAGTTGTACCATTTTGTTAGTATATTCATTTTCTATGGCTTCTTCAATTGCCACTAACTAACTTAAAGCTTAAGGCAACACTTATTCACTATTTTGCAGTTCCTTAGGTAGAAGTCCAACGCAGGCAGCAGTGGGCTGAAAGCAAGCTGTCAGCAGGAATGTGTTCCTTTCTGGAGTTTCTAAGGAGACTCTTATTTGTTGGAGCTCTCCTCAGGTCCTGGAAGCTCCTTGCATTTCCTGGCTGCAGTTCTCTTTCTTCAACTCTAAAGCTAGCAACAGCAAATCAAATTGTTGCATCCACTCTGGTCTCCTCTTCTGCTTTCTGCTTTTGAGGACGTACATGGTTACACAGGGCTATCAGGCCTACTCAGGGTAGTGTTCCCATTTTAAGTCAACTGGTTAGGAATCTTAAGTCATCTATTGCCTTAATTTCTCTTAGTGATATACTGTAACATATTCAGACATACTGGGGATTAGGATGCAGACTTCCCTGGGGGACTGTCATTCTGCCTGCTACTGTCAGGAGCAATGAATACAGCCTGTGTCATAACTGTATTCCCCAAATTAGGTGATTAGGAAATAGGATGGGAGTGGAAGGACTCTGAAGTTAAGAATAAAAAGATCAATGTTTTAGTTTGGCTGAAGTCATTAATTGTTCTTAGAAAAGTCATTGAATCTTTGGATCTTAATTTAATAAGTTTTGCAATGGGGATATGTGGGTAGTGGATACTGATGTCCTTTTGAATTCTAAAATGCAGTGATGTGACTCAGCGCACAGGACTTTGTCATTTACAGATTTTTCCAAGGTAGATGAAAAATTTTTTTTTTTTTGACCAATTACCGCCTTTATCTGCTCTGGAAAAAGAGGCAAGAAATTAAGCCTAGAATAGAGATAGTTTAGGAAGAAATATATAAACATAAAACAAAACAAACAGAATGAAAACCTGGAGACTTAAAAAATTAGCATGGCTAATGTCACCAATATTAGTATTAATAATAAAAGAACTACTTAAAAATGAAATGGAAGGAAACAGCTATACTTATTCCAGTACCATCAATTTGAAATAACACCTTAAAAAGTATGAGCTTCTCTGACTGAATTATAAAAGAAGAAAGAAGGGGGGGGGGAGAGAGAGAGAGAGAGAGAGAGAGCGAGCAGAGAAGAGAGAGAGATTAACTAGATTTTCCTTTGTCAGTGTTTAAGCAAAATACCATCTAGGTCATATGGCTTTTGTGTGGGTGCTCAGAGAAAAGATTTCAGTCAGTTGCTACTAGGTATTCAGAGCCTTAAGACTTTCAATATATACCTGTGTCTAAGATTATGTTGGTGGCTATTTCTGACCTACCGAGTGCCAGTTTGAAGCAGTAGGGGGAGGAGAGCAAAACTTCCGAACATATAGCTCCTCTTTCACTGCACCCAACTCTAACGAATACAATATTAGTTAAAAGAATTGGTGAGCATGTGGGAGCTAGTGTCATCATTTGGTACTAAGCAGATATGTCCTGTTAGAGTTATTACTGTGCTAGTATTAAGCATTTTCATCAATAACCAGAACAAAGAAGCATTAAAACAACAGTTCAATTCAAGAAAACATCCAAGAGTAAAAGTATTCTTTAGTAACTTGTGAAAGAGCTTCAAAATGAGGTTAAAATGTGGTGCTAACTTTTGCCTGAAGACAGGTTATTGACCTCAAATGATCCTTTCCAGCCTCATGATTATTTGATTTTATTAGATTTAGGACGAAGTACTACTTTAGCTGTATAACAAAATATTATTACTAAATCATGAGCTACTATTGTAGAAGATTAAAACAATGCCTCTTAATATAATAGGGACCACATTATAGCTCCGAAATACAGAGGCATATACACTATTTTTTACTTTTATATGCATCTTTTATAGCACCATCCAACTTCCTTTTCTGCTTTTTAAAATATGCAAGAAAATTAGATAACCGTGACTCCCAACAAAGCAAGTAACACAACATCTGAGAAGGAAAGGAAGAAATGACTCAATTTTATCTCTCCTTCAGATTCTGGAAAATAACATTGCTAAGTTCCTGGACTTTGTGCTCACTGCTACTGAAGAACACAGCTATGTGCCCCTTGCTGTCCAAGGCACTTTCCCGTCTGACTCTGAAATGTGCATAGAAATGACCTTAAAAGCAGTGAGCAACAATTAGCATATCCCTCGGTTGTCCAGGGAAAGGCAAACTTCTTGAATTTGTAGGAAGGTTTTCTGTAAAGGGCTGCCCACGAATGGGTTCCATCAATTTAGCTTCAAACCATAAGTTGAGATTTGCATTATTCAATTCCTAGCCTTTCCTATACAAGGGTGCAACCCAGGTGCATAAAACTAGATTTTTCTTCTTACAAACATTTTGACTTTTTTGTATAATAGTTCAGAATTTGACTAAGATGATATATGTTTTGCTGAGGAGGGTGGGAGATGGGAACCATCAAAGAAATCTGAAAAGCTATGTTGGTGGAATGTGTGGAGGGCACACATGCAGTTTACAGACCCAAGAGCAAGTCCTCCTAGCCAGCAGGGAACGTCTAAATACACATTAGTTACCATACGAAGTAATAATGGGATGCACAGGGACTCCTTGCACCCCGGCAAGGATATTGCTGGTGTGCTTCTCTAGAATTTACAGGGACTTATTATTATTTAATGTTTAGAAAATTACATGCCATAGTTGTGCTCAGCAGTGAACAGCGAAACAAAAACTCACACGATCTTAGCCCTCAAAGGACACCCTATATTCCGGGTAAGACCACATTTATCCATAATTCCCAAAAGTTTGCTGCTGAAAAAATGAAGTAAATTTTCTGTCAAAAAGAGTAAATGGAGACTGAGGTGGAGTCAGGAGCTATTTCTCTGTTTTGTGGTATGAGTAGAATAGGGACATCATTCAGGTGCTAATATTGGTTTCTGGTGGCTGATCTTCCTTTGTTTTTCCTTAAATAATTCTAAAGAAACCCCATTATTTTGAATGGTACTGAGGTTCCTAAAGGCTAGGATTTTAGAGTTCATTCCTATATAATAAGAAGAGCAAGATGTCATGGACAGGAATCTTAATCACATTTTGAAACTGACTAGGAGGGGGCTGCCCCTTAGCTCAGTTCTTTAAGTGGCTGCTTCAACAAAGCAGTCAGCCTCAGGTTGCTATGGTTCGATCCCCACAACTCAAGCCAGCCAAACATGCCCTGAAGGCTTTCTGAGCCAGGCCCCCCCCACAAAAAATCCTTCTGAAATTGACTAGGATATATATATATA